AAAATAAAATAAAATAAAATAAAATAAAATTAAAATAAAATAAAATAAAATACATTTAACAGAATCATGGGATCCCGGAATGGTTTGGGTGGGAAAAGCCCCTCCAGTGCCACCCGTGCCATGGCAGGGACACCTCCCCAGCCCCAAACCCTTGGGGTCCCGGCCCCACCTGCGGCTTGGCCTCATCCTCGTCCTTGTAGTAGAGCAGCTGCTGCCCGCGGAGCACGAAGAAGCGCAGCTGCCAGTTCTTAACGATGGAGCGCTGCTTGCGCAGCCAGCCCAGCTTGTCCGGCCGCGGCAGCGCCCCGGGATCCGCGGCCATCACACTGCGGGAACGGGCTGGGGACAGACGGACACCGTGTGGGGACAGACGGACACGGGCTGGGGACAGACGGACACCGTGTGGGGACAGACGGACACGGGTGTGGGGACACAGGGACACGGGCTGGGGACAGACGGACACGGGTGTGGGGACACAGGGACACGGGCTGGGGACAGACGGACACGGGCTGGGGATACAGGGACACGGGTGTGGGGACAGACGGACACGGGTGTGGGGACACAGGAACACGGGCTGGGGACAGACGGACACGGTGTGGGGACAGACGGACACGGGTGTGGGGACAGACGGACACGGGCTGGGGACACAGGGACACGGGTGTGGGGACAGACGGACACGGGTGTGGGGACACTGGGTATGGGGACAGAGGGACACAGGGAGTGGGGACAGGGGACACACAGCGGGGACAGGGGACACAGTGCGGACAGAAGGACACAGGGAGTGGGGACAGGGGACATACAGTGAGGACAGAGGGACACAGTGAGGACAGGGGACACACAGCGGGGACAGGGGACACACAGTGCGGACAGAGGGACACAGGGTACAGGGACAGGGGACACACAGTGGGGACAGAGGGACACAGTGAGGACAGAGGGACACAGGGTACGGGGACAGGGGACACACAGCGGGGACAGGGGACACACAGCGGGGACAGGGGACACAGAGTGGGGACAGGGGACACAGTGCGGACAGAGGGACACAGGGTATGGGGACAGGGGACACACAGCGGGGACACAGCCAGGCTCTGGGCCCCGCGCTCTGCTGAGTCCCAGCCCCGTTTGCAGAGGAAGTGGCCGCAGTGGCTGCCAGGCTGAGCTTCCTTTTGCCTGCGGGGGAGCAGCTGCCTCCCAGCGAGAGCAAAGTCAGGGCTGGGGGTGTTTTTTGGGGTTGTTTTCGTGGGGTGTGGGGTTTCTGCAGCCTCCCCAGAGCAGCGGCCACAGCAGAGTGACCCAAACGCTTTGGAGACCCCAGTTCTGCTCTGGGATGGTCCCAGTGGGGCAGAACTCACATTCGTGGGGCTGGAAAATCTCCAGGGATGCTAAAACACCAGCATGGGCTGGGCCCTGGGCAGAGCAGCGTCCCTGCCCCGTTTGTGTGGCCCCACGGGTGGCACGGCCCTGGGGCACCCCCGAATGCCTGGCAGGGATCACTTCCAGGGGATTTTTGCCTCTGCAGCCGCCCAGAGCCAGCCCAGCCGGGCAGGGTTTGCATCGTTGGCTGCAAGGCAGGAATAAAGCCGTGACTGCGGGGAACGGGGGCTGCACGCGGTGATTTCCGGGGCTGGAGAACCCCCAGGGCTCCAATCTTCACCTCAGGGCTGTCCCCACATCCCCGCCCAAAATCCCCCAGGGCGAGGAGCCCCTCTGGGGGTGCCCCCCAAGCGCTTCCTGCCCCAACGGCCTCCAGGGTTGGGCATTTCCTCCAAAACCTCCTCCCCCAAAATCGGGAGGGCAGGAGAGGCCTGGGGCCAGGGCTGGCCCGGGCAGGACCCCCCGGCACCCCCATTGCTGGGGAGCTGCAATAAAAAACAGTAAAAGGGGTTCACGGGGGAATTTCTGTTTGTCTGAAATCCATTTCTTTGCAGTTCTCCAAACGCTGCCCCAGGCAGGGCTGGGGGAGCAGGGGAAGTGTCCCCAGGCCACGAGGAGCCAGGGAGGGCGGTGGCAATCTGCAAACATTGCAAACATTTGCAAATGCGACTTTCACATTTCTGCAAGTGAAGCCGCAGCAGCCCCGGAGACGGCGCAAACACACAAAGCCACACAGAGTCACACAAAAACTCACACAGAGTCACACAAAAACTCACACAAACTCACACAAAGTCACACAAGCTCACACAAAAATTCACACAAAGTCACACAAACTCACACAAAGTCATGCTCACCCAGCAGCTGGAAGCTGCAAAAAGCACCAGGGGTTTCACCACAAGCAGATTTTCTTGAAAAAAAGGCAATTCCTGGTGCCAGCACAGGCTCAAGCCTCGGTCCCATCCCCACCCTTTGCTCCCCAGCACCCTTGGTGTGGCCTGGCCTTTTTTTCTCACTTGACTTCACCCCCTGCTCCACAGCCTTTGTGCAAAACCAATTTTAGTTATCCCAGGAACAAGGATGCAGGATGCTTCTGTGATAATCCATGGGCATTCATTTCTCCCCCCAGTGTGGGGATGGCTCTGAGCTCGTTTCTGGTCTCATTTGGGGCTTCCATCCCTTCCCTTGGGGCTCTGTGTGCAGAGAATGGCTCGGCCACTCTGGCAAAAGTGGCTTCAGACAGAAATCCAAGTTTCTGTGTGGGAAAATCCAGCCAGGCAGAGACCAGCTCTGCTCCAGGGCCAAACCCAGCCCCAGGGTGGATTTTTGGATGGCCTGGGCTCTGCAGCCCCTCCCTGACCACACCATGATCACCCCTAAATCCCCTCCCTGACCACCCCATCATCATCACCCCTAAATCCCCTGTCCCCTCCAGCCTGGGCCTGAGCTTTCGTGCCACCAGAAGGGGCCTGTGTGGTTTAAATCCCCCCAAACTCGGGTTTTGGGGGACAGCAGCCCCGTCCCCCTGCTCCCACAGCATCCCTCACTGACAAATCTGCAAATCACTTCTTGGAAATCATTTGCAAATCATCTGCTCTGTCTCTAAAGTGGCACCGGGGGCCACTGAGCCAAAATCTCAGCTGGGCTCAGCCCCAGGGCCCCCAGCCCTGCCCGGGCCTTGCAGACATGGAGGGGCACCAAGGAACCCTCACAGAGGAGCCCTCATGGAGGAGCCCTCATGGAGGAGCCCTCATGGAGGAGCCCTCACCAAGGAACCTTCACCAAGGAGCCCTCATGGAGGAGTCCTCACCAAGAAACCTTCACCAAGGAATCCTTCACCAAGGACCTTCATGGAGGAGCCTTCACGGAGGAGCCCTCACCAAGGAATCCTCACAGAGGAGCCCTCACGGAGGAACCCTCACCGTACCTATTTTTGCAGCATCCATCTTCAGGTTGAAATCCCAGTTCCGTGGCAGCTTGAGGGACATGCTGGATCAGGAAAGTTCTTTTTTTTCCCTTTCCTCAAGGTGAGCTTGTTTAGGAGAGGGGCTGGAACCAAGCCCTGGCAGTCCCGTGGGGGTCCCCCCACCAAGAGCAGCGGCTCGGCGAGGCTTGGTTTGCCAGCGAGCTTCCTGCCTCTGAGAGCAGCAAAAACCCCATAAAAGTCCTTTCCTGCCCCGCTTTCCTGCCCAGCTCTGGCTTGCCCAGCCGTGCTCTCCGCTGGTGCCAGCTCTGGTCCCCCCTGTCCCCTGCCCAGGCCCGGGGCCGCCAGCCCAGCCCGGGGCCGCTCCCCGGGCGCGCTCGGGGCATTTGAGGAAGTGCTGTCGGCAGCTCTGCGTGGGCTCCTGGAGCTCTGAGCGCTGCCCCGAGCACGAACAGCCGGGCCCGGGGCCCTGGGGGCGTCCTGGGGAGGGGCAGAGCTCGGGGTGAGCCCAGGGTGGCGCCCGTGCCCGTCCTGGGCACCCCCAGATGGCACCGGGGTTTGGGGTTGGCTTTTCCTTTGCAGCCAAATGGGGATGGAACGGGGAGGGAAGGACATGGAAACCAGAGGGGTGAGCACCAAGGGCTGCTGGAGATGTGGAGTGGGTTGGGAGGGAGCTCAGAGCCCACCCAGGGCCACCCCTGCCATGGGGGGACACCTTCCACTGTCCCAGCGTGATCCAGCCTGGCCTTGGGCATGGATGGGCACTTGGGCAACTCTAGTTCCTTTTGAATTTTAATATTTTTTAAAATTGTTTAACTTTAATGTTTTGTTTCAATTTTAATATTTTAATTTTCAATTTAATTTTAATTTTTCATTTTAAAGTGTTTAAAATGAAAAATTTTAAATTTAAGTTTAAAACATTTAAGTTTAATTTAAATGTTTTAAATTTAAATTAAAAATTTAATTTTTAAAGTGTTTAATTTAAATGTTTTTATTTTAATTTTATTTTCATTTTCAATTTAATTTTACTTTTTTTTTTTAATTTGAATTTTTGGTTTCATTTTTAAATTTTGATTTTCACTTTTTTGTTTTAATTTTAAATTTAATTTTACTTTTTATTTTTTTAAATTTGAATTTTCGGTTTCATTTTAAAATTTTTATTTTTATTTTCATCCTAAATTTAATTTTTATTTTTTAATTTCTAAATTTCAGTTAGAACTCTGCAGACAGCTGAAGGGGCTGCATGTTTTGCTCCCTTTTTCCCCAGCCAGGCTCTGGAGCAGCCCTTTCTCAGCTGTGTCACGGGCAGGATGTCACGAGGCCTGAACGGAAACTCTGCCTGAGCCCAGAGCTGGGCTCAGCCCAGGCTGGGCCCAGCAGAGCTCTGAGCTCAGCCCAGGCACCCCAAACCTGCCCCGGGAGCCCCAGCCTGGGCAAGGAGAACTGCAGGATTCCCTATGGAAATCTGCATTTTTCCAGGTCTAAAAATGCAGATTAAATTGGCACATGATGTGTGGAAAGCAGGGGGAATCTGCTTTTTTCCAGAATAGTGAATATTGCTGACTATTGAATATTGCCGAATATTGAATATTGCTGACTATTTTTTCCCCAGGAAATCCCTCAGGAAGGAGAGCACAGGGCAGGGAACAGGGAATGTGAGTTTGGAAATCACGGAGCACCCACGGCGCTGAATGAAAGTCCCCCCAGGTAATGGAATTTATATTTATTTAACAGTAACATACAGTATATAAATAGGGTAAATACTTTAAAATATACAATATTTCACATTCGAACATTCGGTCAAAGGAAGGCAACTCTACGTGTGCAGCTAGAACTGGAACCAAAACCAAAGCACAGAGAAAGAACAGCCAGGGCTGGAGAGCAGGGGCTGCACAGGAGCACAGAGCTGCCACCGGGGCTGCCACGGGGCCTTGGGGACAGAGCTGTCCCCAGGAGGGGCCACCAGCACCCAGCCAGGGCAGGGGGACAGGGCAGGGCCCCCAGCCGGGCCTGGGCACTGCCTGCACACAGGGGACACAGGGGACACTCCCTGGAGGGGACACTCCCTGGAGGGGACATTCCATGGAGGGGACACTCCCTGGAGGGGACACTGGGATGGCACAGCCCAGCTCTGGGGAATGCTGCAGGATCTCAGCTCCACTCGAGAGATGCTCCTCAGCTCAGGGGCACTGCTGGACCCTGGGAATTCTGTTTAACCCAGGGAATCCTGTTCAGCTCCAGGAATTCTGTTCAGCTCCAGGAATTCTGTTCAACTCCAGGAATTCTGTTTACCCTGGGAATCCTGTTTCACCCTGGTAACTCAGTTTCACCTTGGTAATTCTGTTTCACCCTGGGAATCCTGTTTAACCCTGGGAATTCTCTTTCACCCTCCTAACTCTGTTTAACCCAGGCTGATCCCAGGTCTGATGCCTTCCTGAGCAGGGCCAGCCCCACCTGGGCCACAACCAGGCAGGGAAAAGCAAAATTCCCACCCAGATGTCCCCAGGCCTGGCCCAGCCTTGGGTCAAACCCGTGTCCAAACCCAGTAAACACCTGGGGGTGCCCAGTGTGCCATCCCCACGGGCACTGCCCCTCCCTGGCTGGTGGCTCCACACCTGGGACCTCGGCAGGGGCTCCTGTCCCCTCCTCCCAGCTGGCAGCAGCTGCCCTGCCCTGCCCTGCTCTGAACCTTTGCACCTTCCCTGCTCCGAACCTTTTCCTGTGCCAGGCTGAGCCCCAGCCCTGCACACCCCACCCCTGGGGTCACTTTGTCCCCACATTCCTCAAGTTCAGCGTCCCCAGGGCCCTGTGGGCTCCTGCACATCCCTGGGCAGCAGCAACAGCCAGGGCCAGGCCAGCAGCTTCCATGCTTCCCAAATTCCATCCCAGCTCACACCTGCAGGACGTTCCCTGCCCATGGCAAAGGAGGAGGGACAAGATTGAATCCCCCCTCCATCCCAAACCCAGGGTCCCACTCAGCCCCCAGCCCTGTGAGCTCAGCTGCACGACCTGCAGACAGCCCCAGACCCCAGCTCCATCCCTGCCTCCACTGTTCCCACCCTTCAATGGCTCCTAAGGGACTTTTCCCATACAGGAAACCCTCCCCAGGCAGCTCTGCCCCTGAGGAGCAGCCCGGGTTTGCAGGGAGGGGCAGGAATAAAACTGGTCAGGGCATTTCTGATCAGGGAATGTCTGATCAAGGAATGTCTGAATGTCTGATCAGGGCATTTTCTAATCAGGGTATTGCCTGATCAGGGAATTGTCTGATGAGGGAATTTTCTGATCAAGGAATGTCTGATCAGGGCATTTTCTAGTCAGAATTTTCTAATCAGAGAATTTTCTAATCAGGACATTTTCTGATCAGGGAATTAATTTCTGATCAGAGAATTTTCTCATCAGGGCATTGTCTGATCAGGACATTTCTCATTGCAGAATTAATTTCTGATCAGGACATTTTTAATCAGGACGTTTTCTGATCAGGGAATTAATTTCTGATCAGGCCATTTTTCGTCACAGAATTCACATTTGATCAGGCCATTTCTCATCACAGAATTCACATTTGATCAGGCCATTTCTCGTCACAGAATTCACATTTGATCAGGCCATTTCTCATCACAGAATTCACTTTTGATCAGGCCATTTCTCATCACAGAATTCATTTCTGATCAGGACATTTTTCATCACAGAATTCACATTTGATCAGGCCATTTCTCATCACAGAATTCACTTTTGACCAGGCCATTTCTCGTCACAGAATTCACTTTTGACCAGGCCATTTCTCGTCACAGAATTCACTTTTGACCAGGCCATTTCTCATCACAGAATTCACATTTGACCAGGCCATTTCTCATCACAGAATTCACTTTTGACCAGGCCATTTCTCATCACAGAATTCATTTCTGACCAGGCCCTCCTGGCAGGCCAGCCCAGGCAGAGCTGCTGCTGCTGCTCCCTCAGCTGCTCCCTGGAGCTGCTTTGCCCTCCAGTGCCCACAGGCAGCACTGACAGCCCTGCCCCAGCAAAGCTCTGCCCTGCTGCTCACAGCAGGAGAGGAACTAAAGGGTTAAAGCAGACGAGCAGGAGACTAAAAACCCACCAGGGGATTTCTCACTAAGGACAGAGCACAGCTTGGGGATATTTATCAACACTGGCACCTCTGCCTGGGCATTCGGGCAAAGGGCAGGAGCACCAGGCAGCCCCAGCTGCTGCAGCCCCCCTGGCACTGCCCCACGTTAAACACAGCCCAAATACTGCCCTGGGCAAGGTGGGAGCACCTCTGTAATCCTCTGCAGTTTCTGTGTCAGGGGCCTGCACCAACACCTGCTCCATGGACAGAAAAGAAATAAAACCTAATTGCAGCTGCTAGGGAGCAAGCACAGGAGAAATCACAACCAGGAGAAATGGGCATGAACACCAAAGCCAGTCCTGGAGTGCCCAGGGCAGCAGAAATTGAGCAACTGAGCAGAGCCTCCTGTGCTTTGCATCCAACACCTGCCCAGGGAGCAGAGCCCAGCCCAAGGAGAGCAGGAGAGGGGCTGCACCTCTGCTGTGTATTCACACACACTCAGTGTGGGAAGAGCTCTGAACCTGGGGCATTTTCAGGTGGTTGGTTCTCTGCTGATGCCAAGCAGGTGCAGGGGCTCATGTGTGGCTGAAGGTTTGTGGCAGCAACTGCTTGAAAACTCCAATGTATTTATTTCTGCATGAGCTCTCCCTGTCACTTGTTCCCTGGGCTAAAACAAGGTAAAGTTTCTCTCTCCCATGCACAAACTATGGAAAGAAGGAAAATCAGAGTCCCCTCGTGTTTGCACGAGGGGTAAATGGGGATATTTTCACTATCTGGTAACAAAAAAAAAAATAAAATAAAAGGAAAGTTTTACAATCTTTAGGGCTCTCTCGTTTTTAAATAATAAAAAAGTATGACAAAATAAAGGAAGGTACTTCATAAAACCTGCAGCTATAAAGTACAAACTACTTCTGACAAGATTCAGTGAGCAAAGCAGGACAGAAGCCTGCAGAGAAATGAACCCAGACTGAAATGCAACACAGACCTTGGTAAACTCAGCAGCACGACTTCTACAACTCAAGTAACAAACAGACATGATCCCTGAAAGAACACAAAACCCCCAGCTGCAGCAAGGAAACTGCCTGGACACTGCTCCCAGGCTCCTTCAACACCCCAGTGTGGGCTTTCCAAGCTTGGAGAAATGAAGAAGTGTGGTTTCTAAAGGTTATTGAATTAAAGGTTTCTAAAGGTTATTGAATTAAAGGTTTCTAAAAGTTATTGAATGGGGGAAACAAACCCAGGTGTTCAGAAGTTGTTCTCACCTGGCAGGAATTGCTCAATGAAACTTCACTGCTCTTTAAATCTCGTTTGCTTCCACGGGTTCTGGGGGAATCTGAAGCTGCCACTCCCTGTGCCCAGCCTGCTCCTGCTCGGAGTGGCCACAAAAATCTGATTTGCCAGGACAGAAGGGAGGGAATGTGAGAGGCACTGCAGGAGCAGCAGTGAGAGCAGCTGCAGGGGGAATGGGCTCACACAGGATCCTCTCCCTGTGCAAGGAGACTCCCACAGGCAGGAATCTGCCCTGGGACGATTCCCCAGCACCCCCAGCACACGAGGAGGGTCCCAGAGCTGCCCCCTGAGCAGGAGGCTCAGAGCACTTTGAACACTCCTGCTCCACCCACCCTCACCTCCTCCTCAGCTACAAACCCCACATTTGCTCGTTTGAACCAAAGCTCTATAAATATATTATTTAGAAAAAAAAATAAAATAAACCACAAATGCAAACATTTACCAAGAAAGGAAGAAAAAGTTACAGTGAAATGAGGCCTTGTTATTGTCTTAAACCAGGGAACTCCCTGGAGGAGGCCTGGGTGCTCTCAGTCCTGCTCCAAGCTCCTGCCTATGCGTCCTCCAGGCTGGCCAGCACTCCCCTGTCCACCAGGTGAGCTTTGAGGGTGTTGAAGATGTGCAGCTGCTGCTCTGGCCTCAGGGTCAGGAACTGCTGGATCAGTTTGCTGGGGTTGGGGCCCCTGGAACACAAAATCAGGGTCAGCAAAGGCTGCAATTCCAGCAGAGTGTTCATTGCTGTGCTCTCCAGCCCCCTGGGAGCCTTTTTTTGCTGACAGGGTTTGAATCTCTCAGGTATTTCTCTGAGAGAGATTCAAACCTGGGCAGCAAAAAAAGGTGAAATATCTGACAGAAATTCAGGGCAGCAGGAAAAGTTTAATATCTGACAGAGACTCAAACCTGGGCAGCAAGAAAGGGTGAAATATCTGAGAGATTCAAACCTGGGCTGCAATAAAAGGTGAAATATCTGACAGAAATTCAGGGAAGCAAGAAAAGTTTAATATCTGAGAGATTCAAACCTGGGCAGCAATAAAAGTTGAAATATCTGATAGAGATTCAAACCTGGGCAGCAAGAAAAGGTGAAATATCTGACACAGATTCAATCCTGGCAGCAAGAAAAGGTGAAATATCTGACAGAAATTCCAACCTGGCTGCATTTTTAAACAGAACACTGGCCCCTGTGAAGGGAGAGCTGCAGTGGAGGAACCCCCACAATGGGCACTCACCCAAAGTGCCCAACCCAAAGAGAACAGCAGAAAAACCCTCCAAGGAAACCCTGCCAGGTTTTAGTGCTTTAAGCACAGACCAGTGAGGTGTGTCTGTGTCACAGCTGCCTATAAACACAATGGGTTTCCAATAAAACAAAAGAACAGAGAGCTGGGCCAGCCTTCCTGAGGCACACAATGGCCCTGTTACCTGATGAAGCTGGCGATGTAGACGTTGACAAAGGTGGCCATCAGGTACTGGCAGTCGAAGCGATCCATGATGCCCCCGTGGCCTGGGATGGTGTTGGCAAAGTCCTGCCAGGGCAGAGGGGTGGCACTGAGCCCTGGTGTCCCCACACACCCCACTCAGCCCTGCCCCAGTTCCAGAGCCACACCAAGGAAATTTGGTTCAATGTCTCCCTGCTTCTGGAAGTTTCTCCTTTATGGAGCTGCTGGAGCCTGAGGGGCAGCGGGGCTCAGCTCAAAGGCCAGGGAAGGCAAATGTTTAAAATGTTTGTCTGCTGCCACCCTGCCCTGCCTTTCAAGGCATCCCAACTGAGCACAGGCTGCTTGTATGTGAAACCAGCCTGCAAGGCACCAAGGGAAACCTCAGATTGCAAAATTTCCTGCCTGGGTCTTCCTTCCCCCACCTGCACCACAGCAGGGTTTGGAATATCACAGTTACAACTTCAAGGTCTCTTCCCTTTTGGTCAAAAAACCAAATCCTGCTCCAGCATTTTATCTGTGTCTGAGCAAACCTCCCTTCCCTGGAGCTCTGGGATTGCCTTGAGGAGCAGCACCCACTTTGTGTCACCTCCCCAAAACCACCAGGACCCCCCCAAAACCTCCAGGACCTCCCCAAAAACCCCAGTGACCTCCCCAAAACCTCCAGGACCCCCCCCCAAACCCTCCATGCTCACCTTGATTTTGAAGGCCCTCTTGAAGCCGCTGGCGAAGAAGCCTCCGAAGGGCCCGATGAGGGAGGCGAAGGTGGACAGGGCGATGCTGTGGATCTGGAATGGGTACATCCTCACGGTCCTCTGCTCACAAACACACAGACAAACACACAAAAAAACACACAGAGCACCTTCAGAGCCTGCCCTGCTCCCTGCCCTGATCCCTGCCCCTGCAGTGCCTGCCCTGCTCCCTGCACCTTCAGAGCCTGCCCTGATCCCTGCACCTTCACAGCCTGCCCTGATCCCTGCCCCTGCAGTGCCTGCCCTGCTCCCTGCACCTTCAGAGCCTGCCCTGATCCCTGCACCTTCAGAGCCTGCCCTGCTCCCTGCACCTTCACAGCCTGCCCTGATCCCTGCCCCTGCAGTGCCTGCCCTGATCCCAGGCTGGAGCTCAGGGCGCTTTCAGGTGGGCTCATGTCCCAGCAGATTGGGGATCATTCCTCTGGGATCTCTGGAACTGGGTTCATGTCCCAGCAGATCTGGGATCATTCCTTTGGGATCATTCCTCTGGGATCTCTGGAACTGGGCTCCTGTCCCAGCAGATTTGAGATCATTCTTTTGGGATCATTCCTCTGGGATCTCTGGAACTGGGTTGCTGTCCCAGCAGATTTGGGACCATTGCTCTGGGATCTCTGGCACTGGGCTCCCGTCCCAGCAGATCTGGGATCATTGCTCTGGGATCTCTGGCACTGGGCTCCTGTCCCAGCAGATTTAGGATCATTCCTCTGGGATCTCTGGCACTGGGTTCCCATCCCAGCAGATTTGGGATCATTGCTCTGGGATCATTGCTCTGGGATCTCTGGCACTGGGCTCCCATCCCAGCAGATTTAGGATCATTGCTCTGGGATCTCCAAACACGCCTGCCCTCCCCTTTGCTGTGACCCCCCAGAGCTCGGCCCTGCCCCTCCCTGGGTGCTCCCAGCCCCAGGCAGAGGCGGGGAGCAGAGGAGCCCTACCCAGCCCAGCAGGGAGTGCAGCAGCCCGGGGATGTTGTACTCCTGCAGCTGGAAGAGCTCGGAGGGCTCGCAGTCCACGGTGAAGCTGTTGGTGTCGTTGTTGAACTCCACGGGGCAGGTGAAGCAGCGGTACCCCGACATCACGTAGGACAGCTCCAGGGAAAGAGGGAAAAGCACAGTTGTGGTTTCCTCAGGGGTTTGTCAGGGCAAAGAAAGGCTGTGCAGGGAGGGGAGGGAGAGGGAAGAGCTCTTCTTGTATTTGTGGGAACGATGGATCTGACTCCATGTTCTCTGCAGGCTGATTCATTATTTTATGTTACTATGTTGTATAAAGAATGCTATACTAAACTGTACTAAAGAACAGAGAAAGGATACTTAGAGAAGGCTAAAAAGAATAATAAAGCCCTGGAATGCTCTTCCCAGGGAGGTGGTGCAATCACCATCTCTGGGTGTGTTTAAAACACCACGGGACATGGCACTGGGTGCTAGAGTCTGCCTGAGGTGTTGGGGCACAGGCTGGACTGGATGATCTCAGAGGTCCCTTCCAACCCCATTATTCTGTGATAAGAATGAAAACTCTGACTCTTTCCAGAGCCTCCACACAGCTTGACCCTGATTGGCCAATAAATCAAAATAATTCCCATGAAACCAATGAATGATCACCTGTTGGATAAACAGCCTCCAACCAAAGCAGCAAGCACAGGAGAAGCAATGAGGAAATTATTGCTTTCCTTTTGCTCTGAGGCTTCTCAGCTTCCCAGGAGAGAAATCCTGGGCAGAGGGATTCTTCCAGAAAATGGGACTGCCACAGGCTCTCCCGGGTTCATTAAGGAGATTAATTGTGGTAATCACATATCCCCTGGACAGAGCTGTCCCAGGAAGCTCTGAGAAGCTGTGAGAGAGCTCAGAGATTCAAACCTGGCAGCACAACAAAGGTGAAACAGCTGACAGAGCCTCCAGCCTGAGTGATTTTTAACAGAACTCCCTAAGAAGGGAAAGCTGCAGTGGAGGAAGCTCCACCATGGGCACTCACCAGCAACCCAAAGAGAACAGTGGAGAAAAATCCTCCAATAAAACCCTCCCAGGTCTTCTTTGGGGAGAGCTGCCAGAGAGAGCAGAGAAATAAAAATACATTGAAAAACATTCAAATGATTGATACTTCCTCACTGTGAGCTGCTGAGGCCACACAAAGGAGTTTGGTCAGAAGGTGACCCCAACACCTCAGCGTGAAATGGCTCAGCCATGGCTGGATGGCACACACAGGTAAAAATGTATTAAAAAAAGGTAAAACTCTGTTGTAAAACACAGTTCAGGCATTACTGCTCTAGCTAAGTTATTTGAGTAAGTTCCCATGAAAATAAAATCCCATAACAGTAAAACCCTGCTTATCCCCACTAAAAAATAATTATAAAAATCAATTAAATTCAATTGAAGTAAATAAAATTCAGTAAAATAAAATAAATTGAATTGAATTTTATTGAATTGGATTTTATTGAATTGAATTGAATTTTATTGAATTTATTTTTATTGAATTGAATTGAAATTAAATGCCATTAAATTAAATTCAATAAAATTCAATAAAATTAAATTAAATTCAAGAAAATTAAACTAAATTAAATTAAATTAAGATAAATTAAATTAAATTTCAGCCTCAAAGAGTGGGATGCAGGTTTAATTTGGAGACTTGCTTCAGCCCCACAGAGGCCCCAGAGCAGAGCTGGGGGAGCTGCAAGGAGCCCAAATCCCCATTTCTGCCCCCCAATCCCCATTTCTGCCCCCCCAATCCCCATTTCTGCCCCCCAATCCCCATTCCTTCCCCCCAATCCCCATCTCTGCCCCAAACCTTGATGAGCGGCGTGCGGCCGAAGAAGAAGCCGAACATGTAGGCCATGATGTCGTTGCAGATCACACAGGAGATGGGCACGATGAACCTGGGGGCCAGCAGGGTTTGCACAGAGCCCCTCGTTATTCTCAGTGGTTTCAATAATTCATAACAATCAATAAAATTTAAAATGAACATGAAATTCAAGTATTTATTCTGTATTTTTAAGTGAAGTACTGATTTGAGTTCTAGAATAGAGATGACATGGTTGAGAGAGAGATTGAACCAGGAGTAAGTTTTGATAAGTTTTAAAATGTAGTTTCGCAAAAAGATTGAGAGTTTTAGAGAATTAGAATTGTGAAAGATGCATTGTGATAAGAATATGTAGAGAAGAATGTGATTGGTGTTAGAAGTAATAGTGGCATTGTGTAATAAAAGTTAACAGATCAAAAAACTGCATCGATCAAAAAACAGATTAAATTTATTAGGGCTAGAGTAAAAAGATTCATTTAACTCAATAATTAATTTGTCAATAAGCTAATTAATAAAAAGTAATTATTTAATTGTTTCTATTATTATTTATTCTTTTAATTAATTAAAATTTAGTGTAAAATAATTAAATATATAATAATTAATATAATTAATAATTGTTGATAAGAATTATTAATAAATCAACACATTCATTATATAATTAATTATTTAATTTTATTAATATTTATATTACCAAATTAATTTAATTAATTTCTTATTTATTCATGCATTGATTATTAACACATAGTTAATAATTACTATTTATTTGCTATATACCGAGGGATTCTATGAAAACCCAGATTTTTCAGGCTGCACAACCCAAACCAGGGCAAACTCACCAGATCATGCCTTCAAACAGGTTGTGGATGATGAGGTGGGACTGGGTGACCACGATCAGCAACGTCACATGGGTCCAGCCAAACTGCAAGAGAGGAGAGCACCCTCACAGAGCCCAGGAATTTATTAATTACCTGTGGTTTGGTAATTAGCCAGAGAAACAGGACAGGGCCCCTTGTGCTGAGTTATTCTGGCCTGGGATCCCCCAAGAACATCTCAGTGCTGGAGGAAGATCTGAGCAGGAAGGTTGGGTTTGACTGCCCCATTGAACCCCAAATTCAGCCTCAGCAGACCCCAAATTCAGCCTCAGCAAACCCCAAATTCAGCCTCAGCAAACCCCAAATTCAGCCTCAGCAAACCCCAAATTCAGCCTCACCAGACCCCAAATTCAGCCTCAGCAGACCCCAAATTCAGCCTCAGCAGACCCCAAATTCAACCTCAGCAGGTCCTGAAGTTAACCTTACCAAACCATGAATTTTAACCTCACCAGGCCCTGAACTTTAACCTCACCAGACCCTGAATTTAACCCTAGTAACACCTGAATTTTAACCCCATCAGACCCTGAATTTAACCCCAGTAACACCTGAATTTTAACCCCATCAGACCCTGAATTTAACCCCACCAAAACCTGAATTTTAACCCCATCAGACCCTGAATTTAACCCCAGTAAAACCTGAATTTTAACCCCATCAGACCCTGCATTTAACCCCACCAAAACCCGAATTCCAGCCCCAGCAGGGCTGGGTTCCCCTGCAGGCCCTGAATCTGGAGCTCACCATGTAGAACTGCAGGCGGTAATGCTTCTTCACCAGGCTCAGCACGAACATGCAGAACCCTGGGGAGAGACAGGGGCACAGTCAGAGCCCAAAGTGCTGCTGGGCAGCACCTCTGCCCTGCAGGACACAGCCTGTGGGCCACCACCCTGCACAGCTGCTGGGGAATAAAATAACACTGCATTGGAGCTCATTGTTATATATTTTATTATGGTTTTTTAAAATAAAAATATATATTCAAGTAAAATATTATTTTATATTTAAATAAATTAATAAGTACATACTATAAATATTTATATATAATATATATTTTAAATAAAATATATGTTTAAATAAAATATTATTTTATATTTAAATGAATATATAAGTCGATATAATATACACCTATATTTTTTAAAATATATATTTAAATAGGTATTTTATATTTAAATAAAAATAAAATAAAAATAAATATTCTTTAATTTTTGAAATATGAAACATATATTTAAGTAAAATATTATTTTATATTTAAATTAAAACCTATAAATATACATTATATATAGATATATATTATTCTATTTTTTAAATGTAATTTTAAATGTATCTTTTAATCTTGTAATCTTAAAATTACATCTAAATGTAATTTTAGATGTATCTTTAAGTAAATTATTATTTATATTTAAATAAAAATAACAACTATACATAATTCTTTATATATTTATATATAAATATATAATAAATATATAAATAAATATTATACATAAACATATATAACTATACATAATTCTTTATATATTTAGTATCTATATACATATACATACTAAATGCATAAAGAAGATATGAAGATTTTAGGGCTTTCTCCTCATTGTAAAGATTTCCCACTATTACAGAAAGATTTGTAACTTCCAGCATGCCTGGGGAGCAGAGGAGATTTCCTGCACTGTGGGCAGATTTCCCCCCCAGCCCAGCCCAGGTGTGCCCAGGTGCCAGCCCAGGCGTGCCCAGGTGTGCCCAGGCATGCCCAGGTGTGCCCAGGTGCCAGCCCAGGTGTGCCCAGGCGTGCCCAGGTGTGCTCAGATGTGCCCAGGTGCCAGCCCAGGTGTGCCCAGGCGTGCCCAGCCCACCCAGGTGTGCCCAGGTGTGCTCAGGTGCCAGCCCAGGTGTGCCCAGGTGCCAGCCCAGGTGTGCCCAGGTGTGCCCAGGTGTGCCCAGGTGCCAGCCCAGGTGCCAGCCCAGGTGTGCCCAGGCATGCCCAGCCCACCCAGGCGTGCCCACCTGTGAGGTAGAGGGCGAAGGAGATGAAGCGATGGTATTTGCTGAGGATCCTCAGCGGCTCCTCCCTCTGCACCAGCGTGAAGAAATAATCGGTCACTGTCTCCCCGTAGAAGAAATAATTCACACACAGCAGGAAATACCTGGGAGGGGGAGAAATAATTTAATTTACACACAGCTGGGGGAATAATTTAATTTATACACAGCTGGGGGAAATAATTCACACACAGCTGGAACTGCCTGGCCAGCTGAGAGCCCAGGTGGGAGCCCAGGTGGGTGCCCCAATGAGTGCCCAGGTGGGTGCCCAGGTGGGAGCCCCAATGAGTGCCCAGGTGGGTGCCCAGGTGGGAGCCCCAATGAGTGCCCAGGTGGGTGCCCAGGTGGGTGCCCTCCCTCACTCACCAGCTGAGTGTCCTGAACCAGGGCAGGTCGTAGGAGTGGTAGACGTTGTAGCCGATGGTGATGATCTCGTGGAAGCATTTGATCTGCACACACATCACCTGCACAGCAAGGACAGCAGGCATGGAACCCCTGGGGCAACACCTGTGCCCTCCAGGAGCCAGGCACAGAGCCCCTGGCACCTGCACAGCCCCAGCTCCCCTGGCACCTGCACAGCCCCAGCTCCTCAGCAGCTCCACCAGCCCTGCAGAAGGCTCCCAGGCCCACCTGGCAAACTCTGGGTGGAGTTTTTCCCTCCCAGTCCCATCTGGGTGGCATTTCTGCCTCCAAATCCCATTTTCCCCTTCCAATCCCATCTGGAAAGCTCAGGATGGCATTTTTCCCTCCCAAGGGAAGCTCAGGATGGAGTTTTTCCCTCCCAGTCCCCCCTGGGATGCTGTTTCTCCCTCCCAGTCCCTCCTGGGATGCTGTTTCTCCCTCCCAGTCCCTCTGGGATGCTGTTTCTCCCTCCCAGTCCCTCCTGGGATGCTGTTTCTCCCTCCCAGTCCCCCCTGGGATGCTGTTTCTCCCTCCCCTGCCCTCTGCACACCCCCTTGTGCGAGTTCCAAGCCCTGACCAGCAGGTTCCCCCCAGGTTTCCCCCGTGGCAGAGGAACCCAGGGTCTGTGGCCACGAGGCTGGAGCTGCCCCCAGGCTGCCCCTGCTGCAGGGAAGGCCAGGACACGTCCCTGCAGCACTCACTATTGTCATCAGGACCATGGGGCCCAGGTAGATGATGATGAAGAAGAAGGTGATCATGGCCAGCGTCAGGATCCCTCTCACCCACCAGTTCTTCCATCTGGGCCAGAGAGAAGGAAAACATCAGAGGAAGGCAAGGCAGAGCAAAGCAGCCCAACAAACTCTGTGTGCACAGGGAGGAAAGGCAGCCCTGCAAACCCCAGATTTCCTCTCAGTGCTGCACAGAGAGCTCGATGTGCTGATAGAGCCTGGCTGCAGCTCAGCCTCACTGGCTGCACAGCTGAGCACCCCCAGGGCACTGAGGTGGGCCAGGGCAGCCCCTGCTCCTCTCTGCAGCTTCCCCAGCCCTTGGACCAGCTGCAGGGTGAATTCCCATGAGATGGGAACCATTCCCCCTCCCCACATGGCTCTGCACCAGGAGATGGCCCCTGGCTGTGGGACCCTCACTGCCTCCCTGCTGGGAAACCTCAGGAGGATGGAGAGGGCCCTGCTCAGGCAGTGATGGACAGGAGGGATGGACAGGATGGACAGGGATGGACAGGGATGGATGGACAGGATGGACAGGGATGGATGGACAGGACAGACAGACACCCAGGAAGTGTTTTTACCTCGAGGACAGGTTGGAGAGGGCCCTGTTCAGCACCTCTGGGGTGTCATCTGAGGTGGGCACTGGGGAGGATCCCCCGAACTCAGACTTGCTCTCGCTGTCTGACGCTGTCTCTCCATCCAGCCTGTTCTCAGACTCTGACTCCTGCAGCACACACAGAGAGCCAAGCACCCTCAGCAGCCACTCTGGGCTGCCCCAACCCTCAGCAGCCACTCTGGGCTGCCCAACCCTCAGCAGCCACTCTGGGCTGCCCCAACCCTCAGCAGCCACTCTGGGCTGCCCAACCCTCAGCAGCCCCCTGCCTCTGCACCACAGGGGGAGGAGAAGGAAATATCCTGGGGGTAACACATGAGAAACATCCTGAGCTGTTCCAGTGGCATCCAGGAAGGCACTGCTGGTCCCTCAGCCTCAGAGCAGGCACAGAACAGGCCCTGCACAGCCACAGATTCCTCCAGGTTCACTAATGACCATCTCCAAGTGCTCCAGGCCTTGTTAGCAGGAATCCTGACAAGGTCCCAATCCCCAGGCAGCTCTCAGGGAATGCAGCACTGCCCAAATTAGCAGCAGAAAGGTCTCCAAGTGGGCAGGCTCCAGGCTTGCAGACAGACTTGGGAAGCACTGGCTGCTTGAGGACACTAAAAATAACCCTGAGCTGATCCCCAGGCAGCTGAGGAGGAAGAGGATGGCTTATCACCCTGGCCCAGGCATCCCCTGGGGCTGCAGAGGGACACCTGCCCTGCCCTGCTGCACACACCAAGTCCTGTGCTTGGGGCTGGGAAAACCCAGCAGGGGCAGCTGTGCCAGGGCTGGGGAGGGGATTTAGGGCAGTCCTGGGCCACTTTTCCCTCTGACCCAGAGCCAAGCCCAGAGCTCCACGGTTTGCCCCTGATTTCAGCTCCATCCTGCTCCTGGAAGGGAGGGAAGGAAGGAAAAGCCTCTCCCTGGGGAGCCTCCAGCAAGGCAGAGCCCGTGGCCTCTCAAACCCCTGAGAAGTGACTCAGCCTGCAGGAACAGCAGAGCTGACAAACGCTGGCAGCTCTGCAAACAACGAGGCTGCAGGGCAGGAGGGCTCATTGTCTGCAGAGCTCCAAAACAATCAAACCCAACGGGCTGGGTGCAGCTGGGGCTGCTGCAGCTCTGCAAGGTGGGAGCTGCTCCCTCCCTGCAAGCAGGAAAAGGTGATTATTCCCCCCGGAATAATTAATAAATTAATTTAGCAAAGCTGAGATGTGTCAGTGGCTGCAGGCCAGGCTCTGAAATCACACAAGGACAGGGAGGCTCTGTCAGGTGGAGGAAACTAAAAATACCTGGGGGATGTCAGGGGTGATTGCCAGGGATGAGCAGAGCTCCAGAATACTGGGAAAAGGAATGCAGGAATAGAATCAGGGTGGGGATTTATCCCAATTCCCTGATTTCTGCACAAGGCATGATGGGGAGAAAGAGCAAAACCCCAAATCTCTGCCAGGGCTGCCTCTCCTGTGAAAAATCCAGATTCCTGCTCACTTTTCCTGTTTTCTATCCACGAAACCAACAGCTCTGAGCAACGTTTGTCAACAGATATTTCCCCATCCTGCAAGAAAGATACACAGAAAATCGACTTTGTCTGAGCTCTCTTTAAGCAACTCCCCTCCCTCCAGAGGGTGGGGAGACGTTGCTGCTCACACTCAGATGGGTTCTGTCACACAAACATCCCCGATCCCAGCTGCCATGGAAACCAGCCTGCTCCCTCTCCCTGCCAAAAATCCCCTGCCCAGCACGGATCCCAGCTCAGCACCCAGCGCTGGCACACGAAATCAGCCCCAAAAATGCCATTTTTTGGGCACTTTCCTTGGAGCCAGGCGCTGTTTTAACCAAAAGCTGTGGCAGAAAATGTTACAAAATAAATGATGCAAAGGGAAATGGGGCTGCTTTTCCAGGCAGCAGAGCTGACAGCTGGAACAGGAGGGACCAAGTGCACCTCTGCTCTCACCCCTGCAGGATCAAAGCAATGCAATTACCTTAATTAACACAGACCCTGCAGCCTCTGCCATGAAAACCCCAATGCTTTCCACCAAGGGCTTTAATTCTTAATTTACATGGGGGAAACTGCCCCATTCCTCTCCCCTCTTTAACCTCAGTAATGAAAATCCCAATGTTTTCCACAAAGGGCTTTAATTCTTAATTTACATGGGGGAAACTGCCCCATTCCTCTCCCCTCTTCAACCTCAGTAATGAAAATCCCAATGTTTTCCACAAAGGGCTTTAATTCTTAATTTAGATTGGGGAAATTGCTCCATTCCTCTCCCCTCTTTAACCTGTCATGAAAACCCCAATGTTTCCCAGAGGGGGCTTTAATTCCTTATTTACCTGGGGGAAACTGCCCCATTCCTGTCCCCTCTTTAACCTCTATAACGAAAACCCCAATATTTCCCACCAAGGCTTTTAATTCTTAATTTACATGGGGGAAACTGCTCCATTCCTCTCCCCTCTTTAACCTGTCATGAAAACCCCAATGTTTTCCACAAAGAGCTTTAATTCTTAATTTACATGGAAGAAACTGCTCCATTCCTCTCCCCTCTTTAACCTCTATAATGAAAACCCCAATATTTTCCACCAAGGGTTTTAATTCCTAATTTACATTGGGGAAATTGCCCCATTCCTCTCTCCTCTTCAACCTCCAGGGCACCTCCCAGAGCTGGGGATGTTCTGGGGAGGTTTCTGTGGTTCTGGGGGCGTTTCTGGGCACAACCACGGGATCAGGAGGGCCCAGGGAGGTGGAGCTGGAGCCTGCACAGACATTTCCATCTGCTGCTCCTGGGGAGAGCAAACAGCTCAGCCCAGAGCTTCCTGCAGGAAAAGGTTATTTCTGTCCTCAGAAGGACAAGACTGAGAGGCTGCAGCTCGCCAAGGCCGCTGCCTTCTGACCCTCAGCTCCCAAGGAGCTCACACAGATTTTTCCAAAACATAATGAGGAAAAAAAAGAAAAACTCGTTTTTCCTCATAGTGTGGAAAAAAACCCCTCATTTTTCCTCATAATGAGGAAAAAAACCCCTCATTATTCCTCATAATGAAGGAAAAACCTCTCATTTTTCCTCATAGCGAAGAAAAAACCCCTCATTTTTCCTCATAATGAGGAAAAACTCCTCATTTTCCCTCGTAATGAGGAAAAACTCCTCATTTTTCTCATAATGAAGAAAAAAATCCTCATTTTACCCTCATAATGAGGAAAAAAACCCTCATTTTTTTCTCATAATGAAGAAAAAAACCCTTCATTTTACCTCATACCAAGGACTTAGGGACAGGAAACCTCCCTGCAGCCGCACTTGGAAATTTTGGGAAATTCTCTGCTGCATTTGACAATTTTGGGGAATTCTGGCAGTTTTGGGGAATTCTCTGCTGCATTTGACAATTTGGGGGAATTCTCTGCTGCATTTGACAATTTTGGGGAATTCTGGCAGTTTTTGGAAATTCTGTCTCTGCTGCATTTGACAATTTGGGGAATTCTCTGTTGCATTTGACAATTTTGGGGAATTCTGGCAGTTTTTGGAAATTCTGTCTCTGCTGCATTTGACAATTTTGGGGAATTCTGGCAGTTTTGGGGAATTCTCTGCTGCATTTGACAATTTGGGGGAATTCTCTGCTGCATTTGACAATTTTGGGGAATTCTGGCAGTTTTTGGAAATTCTGTCTCTGCTGCATTTGACAATTTTGGGGAATTCTCTGCTGCATTTGACAATTTTGGGGAATTCTGGCAGTTTTGGGGAATTCTCTGCTGCATTTGACAATTTTGGGGAATTCTCTGCTGTTTCCATGCCAGAACATCACATCCAGCCCCCCAGAGGAGCTGCTCCTGCTGCCTGCACACATTCCACTGCCTCGTTTCCCCCTCCTGCGACTCATTTCGGGTTTTTGCGAGGAGCAGCACAAGGGGGAGGTTCCCTCTCTCCAGGAAGGACACCCCAGGCCAGCAGCTGGAAGGAAATAGCAGAGCAGCCCTTCAGAAGGACTGGAAACAGGGGATGGAGAGAACTGGATTGTCCTGTGAGCTCTTCAGGGACACAGAATGGTCCCTGTGATCTTTATGGACACAGGATTGTCCTGTGAGCTCTTTAGGGACACAGGATTGTCCCTGTGACCTTTATGGACACAGGATTGTCTTCTTCAGGGACACAGGATTGTCTTTTGAGCTCCTTTAGGGACACAGGATTGTCCTGTGAGCTCCTTTAGGACACAGGATTGTCCTGTGAGCTCCTTTAGGACACAGGATTGTCCTTTGACCTTTAGGGACACAGGATTGTCCTTTTTAGGGACACAGGATTGTCCTTTTTAGGGACACAGGATTGCCCTGTGAGCTCCTTTAGGGACACAGGATTGTCCTGTGACCTCTTTAGGGACACAGGATTGTCCCTGTGATCTTCAGGGACACAGGATTGTCCTCTGTGACCTCTTTAGGGACACAGGATTGTCCTCTGTGACCTCTTTAGGACACAGGATTGTCCCTGTGACCTTTATGGACACAGGATTGTGCTCTGAGCTCCTTTAGGGACACCTGAACCCAACCCCAGCTCGGCCCAGCCCGTTTGTTGTGCACCAGCCCTGCCAATCCTCCCCATGCCAGCACACAAACATGGAATATCAAACTCCCTGAAGGTTTTCTGCTGCACAGCAAATTCCAGCTGGGATGAACAGAGCTCAAGGTCTCACCCTGTGCACAGATGGAGCCACCCCAGGGTGACAATTGCCAGCACTTCTGTCCCAGACCACATCAGCACCACGAAGTTCCCTCAAACCTGCCCGTACAGCCCCCAGCAGGTGTTTAACTGGCACTAAAATCACATTAAAATTGCATTAGAATTGCAGAAGTGCCCTGCCTGATGATTTCAAGCTGCTCAGAGCTGCACCCTCCGTGCACTAATGCAGAAAACATCGATTTGCTGCTGCTGGGGGCTGACAGACCTGTCCCAAACCAAGGGCACTGAAGGCAGAGCTGCTGCTCCCTGCCAGCCTGCAAACGCTGTTTGCAAAGCTCCCCTGACCCTGCGCTCCTCCCGTGAGGTGACAAAGGTGACAGATGAGTCACAGAGCAACCCTGAGCACGCAGGGCTGCCTGGAGGGAGGGCACAGGGACACAGGGCCAGGTCTGCTCCCTGTGCCTCTCCTGCCTGAAAACCAAACTTTTCCCTTTGCAGAAAGGCAGTGCCAGCCCTCATTAAAGTGGGAAATCCCCTGGGGGTGGCTTAGGAGGTGCCAAACCCTTCCCTGAGGGAACCTGAGGGGATCGGAACCCTCCTGTCATTGCCTTGGGATGATTTAGGAGATCCCAAACCCTTCCCTAAAGGTTTCCTAAAGTTTGGAACCCTCCTGTCATTCCCTGGGGATTATTTAGGAGATCCCAAGTCCTTCCCTAAAGGTTTCCTAAAGTTTGGAACCCCCCTGTCATTCCTTAGGGATTATTTGGGAGATCCCAAACCCTTCCCTAAGGGAAGCTTTGGAACCCCCCCATCATTCCTTAGGAATGATTGAGGAGGTCCCAAACCCTTCCCTGAGGTTTCCTAAGGTTTGGACCCCCCCCCCCCATCATTCCCTGGGGATGATTTGTGGGGTCCCAAGGCAGGTTTGGACCCCCTGTCATTCCCTAGGGATTATTTAGGATGTCCCAAACTCTTCCCTAAAGGCAGGTTTAGAATCTCCCTGCTTTTCCTTAGGGATGATTTAGGGGATCCCAAACGTTTCCCTAAGGGGAGGTTTGTAACCCCTCTGTCATTCCCTGGGGATAATTTAGGAGATCCCAAACCCTTCCTCAAGGCAGGTTTGGAACACCCCTGTTATTTCTTAGGGACGATTTAGAAGGCACCAAACCCTTCCCTAAGGGCAGGTTTGTAACCTCCCTGTCATTCCCTAGGGATGATTTAGGGGGTCCCTAAGGGCAGGTGTGTAACCTCCCTGTCATTCCCTAGGGATGATTTAGGGGGTCCTAAGCAGGTGTTTAACCCTCCACCACTCCCTGGGGATGATTCAGGGGGTCCTAAGGCAGGTTTGGACCCCTGTTATTCCCTGGGGATGATTTAGGGCAGGTTTTACCCCCGCCGTTCATGCCCCGGGCCCGGCCTGGCAGCACCGCGCTGTCCCCACCGGAGCCCTGCCCAAACCCGCTCCACGCCCAGCCCTCCTCTCCCCGGGCCGCTCCTCTCGCAGCCCCGGGGGCGGGATCTGCTCCCCCGGACCGAATACTCCGAGCCCGGGCCGAGCTCCCCGAGCGCGGGGCCCTCGCAGCGGCCTCACCGCGGGCCGCCGGGACCCTGCAGTGCGCAGGGCGTGCAGTCCCCGCTCCCGCCGGTGCTTCCCGGTTCTCCCGGTGCCCCCCGTGCCCTGAGGCCCCCCCGGGGCCGCTCCCTACCTTGTCCTGGGGGTCTCGGGCCCCTCCGGGGCCGCGCCCGGGCCGCAGCCGCGCCTCGCTCATGCCGGACCCACCGCGCCGCCGCCGCCAGGGGGCGACACCGCACCGGCAAAACCGCCGCCCACCAATGGGCCGGAGGGGCGGGGCCGGAGCGCGAGGGGGGGCGGCCGCGCCCAGGCGTGCCCGCGGCGCCGGCGGCCAATGGGAGGCGTGGGATTGGCGAGGGGCGGGGCTTTGTGGTGAGGTATGGCGGCGCCCAGGTGTACCCGGATGGAGGGGGGCGCCATGATGTGTGGCGCGGGAAGGTCCCCGGGCGCTGGGAGAAGCGTGACGGGTTTTCTTTAGGGACAAGCGGGTTTGTGTTATGGCCGCTTTTCGGTCAGCACACGATGCCCGAGGAGAGGCGCGCCACCGAGCCGTCCGTACGGCCAGGCCCCGTGTGCGACACCGGCGGCGCTGCAGGGAACGGGCCCTGCCGCCATCGCTGCGCAGCGAGGCAGGACGCGGGCCTCTGTAACCCGCGCGGTGATTGGCTCCCGCCGCGCGAACGGGCGGGGCTAAAGGGAACAGCAGAGCTGTGATTGGCCGGAGCGCGGCGGGGCGCTGTATGTGAGCTAGGAGGGGGTTGGGCTAAAGGAGGAGAGCGGCGCTGGTGATTGGCTGCTGCGCGGCGGTGGGCGGAGCGGCAGAGTTGATAAAAGGGGTTTGGCGGGGCCGCCTCGCTATATTTCAGTTGTTCCGTTTTCGGCTCCGTCCGTGCCGCTCCCGCTGGTGCTGCCAAGATGTTCGAGGCGCGGCTGGTGCAGGGCTCGGTGCTCAAGCGAGTGCTGGAGGCCCTCAAGGATCTCATCACCGAGGCCTGCTGGGACCTGGGCTCGGGCGGCATCAGCCTGCAGAGCATGGACTCCTCGCACGTCTCGCTGGTGCAGCTCACACTGCGATCGGAGGGCTTCGACACCTACCGCTGCGACCGCAACATCGCCATGGGCGTCAACCTGTCCAGGTCAGCCGGCGGCGGGCTCTCCTGGAGCGCTGCCATGGGGCGGCCGAGCAGGCCCGGCGGGCTGTGGCGCGCAGGGCTGCGGGGGAAAGGGTGTGAGGGGAGATGTGGGGGCGAGGGGCCCTCCGGAGGTGTGAGGGGGTCCCGGGGGCGCTCGGAGTTCCCTCACTCCTTCTCTTTCTCACTCCCCCCGCATTCCCCTCACGGCTCTCGCGCCGTTTTTCGCGGCGCGCGCGGGGCGCGTCGCGGCCGTGACGTCACTGCCGGCGCCAAGTGGCGGGAAAAGGCAGCGCTGGCCGCCATGGCCCCGGGTGGGGAGGCAGTGACAGTGACAGCTTTAAACTCTGCCGCTGTCTGGAAAGGACCCGCGGAACCCTGGGCAGGTGGTGCTTCCTGCCCCGCTGGTCAGCCCCGTGAGGCGCTTCTGGAGTGCTGTGCCCAGCTCTGGGCTGTGCAGCAGAGCAGAGACACGGGGCTCCCGCAGCGGGACAAAGATGAGGGGCCTGGAGCGTGTCCGTTATGAGGAAAGGCTGAGGAGACTGCTGAGTGAGGGAAATCATCCCTGTGTATAAATATCCATGAGAGGGGTCAGGATGGATCCAGCCATGGGACAGGAGGAACAGGCAGGAGCTGATCACGGGAGGTTCCACCTCGTGTATGTGGAGGAACTTTGTGGGTGACCAAGCACTGGAAGAGATCAGCCAGAGAGGCTGGGGGGTCTCCCCATACACCCCCTTTCCCTGGTCACTGTGATATCCCATCCCCTCCTGCTCTCAGCTCCCAGCCCTGTGAGTGACCTCCCTTTGTCCCCTGCAGCATGTCCAAGATCCTGAAGTGTGCAGGGAACGAGGACATCATCACCCTGCGGGCCGAGGACAACGCCGACACCCTGGCCCTGGTGTTCGAGGCACCCAGTGAGTGGCATTTGGGAAATCCTTTGTTACTGGGGTGTGTTCAGGCAGCTTCAGGAGCCACAGGGATGCAGGAGGGAGGGAAATGGCAGTGGGTCCTGCAGGAATGGGAGGGGACACCTGACTCTTGGAATAGTCTGGAGATTGAAACTTGATCAAGTTATAAAATACTAAATACTATAATATTTCCTTTTTGTGAGAGGAAGGCCCTTTCAGGCTGCACACAGATAAGTTTGGCTGTACCCTTCAAGCCTGTAAAAGGCTTTTAGGGCATTCCCAGAGTTCCAGCCCTAAGGGCACAGAGGGAAATCTTACTGCCCTTACTGAGATGGTTGTACCTGGAGGGAGTGGGCAGTGGCAGCAGTCCTGCTGACATTTGTCACTCTGCCATTTGGAGTCACTGAGCTTTGCTTCCCCAGACCAGGAGAAGGTTTCTGATTACGAGATGAAGCTGATGGATCTCGATGTGGAGCAGCTGGGAATCCCAGTAAGTAGCAGCTTGGGTGACTGGTGGCACTGGTGTGGAACTGGCTTCATATCATATCCTGGAACACAACAGCCTTGGGAGCTGGACAGCCCTGGGGCTGCCTGGGTGTCCCTGGGAGTGCCCAGCCCTGGCAGGGTGGCACTGTGGGTGTCCCTAGGAGTGCCCAATGGCTGGCAGGGTGGCACTGTGGGTGTCCCTAGGAGTGCCCAATGGCTGGCAGGGTGGCACTGTGGGTGTCCCTGGGAGTGCCCAACCCTGGCAGGGTGGCACTGTGGGTGTCCCTAGGAGTGCCCAATGGCTGGCAGGGTGGCACTGTGGGTGTCCTTGGGTGCTCCCAGCCCTGCCAGCTGTGCCTGTCCCCAGGAGCAGGAGTACAGCTGCGTGGTGAAGATGCCCTCGGCCGAGTTCGCGCGCATCTGCCGGGACCTGAGCCACATCGGCGACGCCGTCGTCATCTCCTGCGCCAAGGACGGCGTCAAGTTCTCCGCCAACGGCGAGCTGGGCAACGGCAACATCAAACTGTCCCAGACCAGCAACGTGGACAAGGAGGAGGAGGCTGTGAGTGGGGCATGCAGGGCTCAGGGCTCACCTGCAGGGCCGCTTCTGTGCCCTGGGGGTTGGAACTGGGGTTGGGAAGGGCCTTTCTGGAGGTCACTGGGTGCCGCCCTGCAGTGAGCAGGGACAGCTCCCTGTGGGTTACGGGGTCCCTCGAGGGTTACCCTGGGAGCTGCAGCAGAGCTGGGCAGGTGGGAGCAGCCCTGGTGGCTGTGGCTGAGCTGTGCCAGGGCTCTGCGTTGTTCTCTGCAATCCTCTCCTGCTCACCCAGGTCACAATAGAGATGAACGAGCCCGTGCAGCTGACGTTCGCCCTTAGGTACCTCAACTTCTTCACCAAAGCCACCCCCCTGTCCCCCACGGTGACACTCAGCATGTCTGCAGATGTTCCTCTGGGTGAGTGCCTGAGCAGAACTGCAGCTTGAGGCTCTTGAGGCTGGGTTTGCTGTAGAAGCCTCTGAACACCTTTCTTCATTCTCTCCTCAGTTGTGGAGTACAAGATCGCTGACATGGGACACCTCAAGTACTACCTGGCCCCCAAGATCGAGGACCAGCAGGATGGCTCTTAACTGGAGCAGGACTGGGGGCATCTGCTCCTGCCTGGAGGAGCAATTCCAGAGCCTTGGAGCATCCTGGGAGCACTGTAGCCGTGTCTTGTAGATATATTTGTAAATATTTTTCAACTCTCTGTTTTGCTATCCTGGTACCATTGGAAATAGGAAAGCTGAGTTTTTCTAGTCTGTTCCTGTACTCCCAACAATCTCTTGGATGCTGTTGAAGGTGAAATTTTTTACTTCTTTCAGCTGCCGTTGGAGAAGAGGGGCAATATTTAATGGGTCAAGATGTATCCTGGAGTTTCCCCTGTGGAGCTGTAGCTTAGGGTTGCTGTTTTGTTATCCCACGAGTTTATGTGACCTTACTTCATTTATTTTTGAAGCTGATATTCTGATTGAAATTTGGAAAATGAAAATAAAAAATATAATTTCCTGGAGTTTGTCGTGTTTAAATGTGGGTGGGTGAATCGATCCTTTTGAAGCTGTTGTGATGTGCCCTGACTCCCTTGTCAAGGCCCAGAGTTCAGCTCTGGTCACTCAGTGTGGGAGAGGTGCTGGTCTGTTCCCTGGATGTGGCCCTTGGGGACAGGGGTCCGTGCTGCTGGAATTCACGATCCTACAAAGGCTTTTCCCAAGCTCTGCCCGATTTTCAGCACATTATTTGGGAACATCCTGAGGATGACCCCACCGGCTGAGAAGCTGTCCCTGGCGGGTGACAGAGGATGGCACCAGGTGGCAGTGCCGGCCGCGAGCGAGCCCTGCTGCTGCTGCCCGGGAGGGACAATCCCTGCTGGGCTCCTGCTGGGACCCGCACTCCTGGCCCGTGTCCCCAGGTCCCCCTGGGACAGGGGCAGGTGTCCCCGCCACGGCAGGGCTGGCACTGGGTGGCACTTGAAGGCCCCTCCCAGCCCAAACCATTCCAGGATTTTGAGTTCAGGCGCTGATTTTCAGCTGCCTTCCTTGCGGAGCTGTCTCCAGATCCTTCCCCCTTTACCCTCCAGCAGTTCAGGAGAACGTCTGGCGAGGCACATCCTTCGTCCCAGAGTTTCTAACAATTCCTGCTCTCTCCCCTTCACCCGGGGCTGCTCCCGCCGTGCTGAGGCGGTGCCGGGCAGGGGAGGCTGGCCCGGCCCCGCCGTGACCTGGAAGGGAAGCGGCGTCAGCGGCATCAACTTCCCGGGGCCGCGGGGGGAACGGGCGGGGCCGGCATGGAGCGGGCGGGCGGCAGGTACGGGGGGTACCGGGGGGTACCGGGGGTACCGGGACTGGTACCGGGGGTACCGGGGCTGGGCAGGTACCGGGGGTACCGGGACTGGTACCGGGGGGTACCGGGGGTACCGGGGCTGGGCAGGTACGGGGGGTACCGGGACTGGTACCGGGGGTACCGGGGCTGGGCAGGTACCGGGGCTGGGCGGGCCGGGGATTGGGGTGGGCTGAGGTTGGATTCGGGTGGGTTCGGGGTGAGTTCTGGATTTGCGTAGTTTGGGTAGGTTCGGGGTGGATTTGGGGTGCTTTAGGTGGATTTGAGATGGTTTGGGGTGGGTTCGGGTGGATTTGGGATAGATTTGGGGTGGTTCAGGTGGATTTGGGGTGGTCTGGGTGGGTTCACTTGGATTTGGGGTGGTTTGGGTGCATTTGGGTGCGTTGGAGTGGGTTCAGGTGGACTCGGGGTGCATTGGCGTGTTCTGGGTGGATTTGGGGCATTTTGGGTGAAATTCGGGTGGTTTGGGTGAGTTCTGGTGTATTCAGAGTGGATTTAGAGTATTCTGGGTGGATTTGGGGCGTTTTGGGTGGATTTGGGGTGGGTCCCTTTGTGCTGCTCCCTCTGAGTCACTCCTGCTGTCCCCATGACAGCTCCATCTTGTTCCAGTTTCCAGTGGTTTGCGTTGGTTTTTGTGTTTATTTGTGGTTTTTGTTTGTTTTGGTTTTTTTTCCAAACTTGCTCTCTTGCAACATCTCCTGGTGGTTGAAAAGCTGCTTTGTTTAGCTCTGGTTTGGGTTTGTTTGCTGCTGTCCTGTTCAGAAACAGCCAGAGCTTGGACATGTGTGTTGTGGCAGTGGGAGCTGGGCCATACCTGGGCCCTGCCTGGGAATTTCTAGCTGGTTTGAAGCACAGGCTCTCCCTCATTCCAAACATTGTTCCAGCTGTATCCATCCTGTATTTCAGCCTTCAAATTAAACTCTTAGATCCTCTGTGGGAGAAGTTGTAATTGCTGAAGGGGAACAGAGCTGTGTTGGGGTGGCACAGCCTTGCCGGGGGAGTTTCTCCTCAGAAACTTCAGTTCTGCCATCCCTGAGTTTCCTCTCCTGTTTTTGCTCCTGCCCTGGCTCCCAGGCTGTAGCTGATGCCCAGGCCCCCCTGGCACGATGCCGTCGAGGACCAATCTCTCTGCTGGGATCCCCAGTAGCAAAGTCAAATATTCCAAACTCTCCAGCACCGATGATGGATACATTGACCTGCAGGTAAAACTGGGGAAGGGAGCTGTGAGACCACAGCCTGGCTTTGCACAGGCAGCTGCTTCTCATGTGTCCCTGTGCAGCTCAGAGAGGGCCAAAGCCAGGAGGGCTAACCCTAACCCTGAATCTAACCCTAAATCTAACCCTAATCCTGGGCCCTTCCCCTCTGGGAAGCCTAAAGATCCTTCCTGGGAACAAGGCTGGGAGCAGGGCCTGGCCCAGCAGGGTCTCCATGGGCAGAATTCCTCCTGGAGGGCACTTCTGGAGCAGAATTTTGTGCCAGCTGTGGGAGGGGAGCCGTGCCGAGTTCAGCTGTTCGATGTTTGGGTTTTTCCATCCAGTTCAAGAAGAGCCCACCCAAAATCCCCTACAAGGCCATCGCGCTGGCTGTGGTGCTCTTCATGATCGGGACCTTCCTCATCATCATCGGAGCCCTGCTGCTGGCAGGGTACATCAGCAAAGGGGTGAGTGCTTCAGACGCTCCTGGCACTGCCCTCAGAGCTGCCCCCAGCCCTCAGGGGACATCAGGGGACAGCAAACAGCCTCGGGTCACACCAGGGCAGGCTTCAACTCCAGATTAGCAAAGGTTTGATGTGGGAAGGCCTGGCAAGAGCTGCAGTGGTGCAGTCCCCATCCCTGGCAGGGTTCAGAACGTGAGCATGTGGCACACACGTGGGCCAGGGGTGACCCTGGGGCTGCTTGATGACCTTGAAGGTCTCCTCCAGCCTCAAGGGTCCTGTGACCATGGTCAGTGTAGAACTTCAGAGCCACAGGCACTGAGCAGGGAATGGGTTCCCACCACGGCCTTGCTGGGCACCTCCAAGGGGGCTGAGTGTCCCTGGGGAGGTCCCATCCCTGTCCTGCAGAGATCTCAGCCCGTGCAGGGCCAGGAGGAGCTGCCAGACCCCGTGTGGGCACAGCAACACCTCCCCATCTGGCTGGGGCTGATCCAGGGATCTGCTCCTGGCTGCTTCTCTCCTGCTCCCTGTGCTGCGGGCGCTTGGCAGCTCAGCTCTGCCTTATCTCTGGCAGCAGAGCAGCCTCTGGGGCTATCAGCAGCACTGCAGGCACAGCTGCCAGCCCTGCTGCACTTCCAGGGGGTCCCTGGTGAAGGATGGGGTCCCTGGTGAAGGATGGGGTCCCTGGTGAAGGATGGGGTCCCTGGAGGGTTCCTGCAGCAAGGATTAAGGGCTCAGCCTGCTGACAGCTGAGATATTTCTGGTGGAAGATGGGTTTTTATTTCTTCACCTTGGGGATGCATCACAGAACCACGGGATGGTTTGGGTTCAAAGAACCTTCCAGATCACCTCATTCTGAGAATTCATTCACATCTCCAGGCAACCTTCCCCCAGAGCAGGCAGGGTGTGAGAGGGAGGAGAGCCCCTCACAGAGATTCCACTGTGGTGCCTTGGGAAGGCTGGGCTAGAGCAGAGTTCCAGAATAAAGCTGGGATTTATTCAAAGGATCTCCTCCATGGATCCATCTTGGGCAGCACAGGAGCCCAGCCAGGGCTGCACCCAAGATCAACCAAAATGGTCCCAAGATGAACCAAAATGGTCCCAAAATGGACCCAAGATGAACCAAAATGGCCACAAAAGGGACAACTGGTCATGAGGTCTGTCACTTTTATAAGTTCTGCTCCATGTGCATATTGGAGTTACTTATCCAATTATAGCTTTAGGTTATGAAGTCCCATCCTTGTTTTTCCTTCTTCATTCCACGTTGTTTCTGCTCTTGGGCCTGAGCTTTGGGTGGTTGTCCTTGGTCCCCAGCTGGAGAAGGAATTGCTTTGTCTCCCTACCCTGTGAGGAGATCTTACAACTCTTAACCTGAAGCTCAGAACTGCACACTAAAGCAGCACAGGAGCTGAAAAATACCAAAGTTAGAGCTGAAAATACCAAAGTTAAAGCTGAAAATACCAAAGTTAAAGCTGAAAAATACCAAAGTTAGAGCTGAAAACACCAAAGTTAAGGCTGAAAATACCAAAGTTAGAGCTGAAGAATACCAAAGTTAGAGCTGAGAATACCAAAGTTAAGGCTGAAAACACCAAAGTTAGAGCTGAAAATACCTAAATTAAGGCTGAAAATACCAAAGTTAGGGCTGAAAACACCAAAGTTAAGGCTGAAAACACCAAAGTTAAGGCTGAAAATACCAAAGTTAGAGCTGAAGAATACCAAAGTTAGAGCTGAAAATACCAAAGTTAAGGCTGAAAATGCCAAAGTTAAGGCTGAAAACACCAAAGTTAAGGATGAAAACACCAAAGTTAAGGCTGAAAATACCAAAGTTAAGGCTGAAAATACCAAAGTTAGAGCTGAAAACACCAAAGTTGGAGCCAAAGGCATCCCCAGCCCTGTGCCCTGTCCCTGCAGGAGACTGACCGGGCCATCCCCGTGCTGATCATCGGCATCCTGGTGTTCCTGCCCGGCTTCTACCACCTGCGCATCGCCTACTACGCCTCCAAGGGCTACCGGGGCTACTCCTACGACGACATCCCCGACTTCGACGACTGAGCTGCTCATTAACCCCGCCCTAATTAGGCCGCTCGGAGCCGGCAGTTCCCCTGCATGCCGCCCGGGCACTGCTGCTGCTGCTGCTGCTGCTGCGTGTCCCGGCCTGGAGGCGCTGCAGGTTTTCCAGTTTGGGGGTGGGGGCTGCAGCCCGGAATTGACCAAAAGGAATTGCAAAGAACTTGGGATTTGCGGGATTTTGTTTTTTCCTCCTCTCGGGGTTGCATAATTCCGCTCGCTGGGAAGCTCTTCCTGGGCGAGGCAGTCCTTGCAGTTTTCCAAAAATAGAGCAGCTGGTTTCAGCAGCAGATCCTTGTTTTTTCTCTAAGTGTTTGCTAGAGTTTAATTTAGCTTTCCATGAGATTGTGGTTATTGTTGGGTTACCTTTGCAGCCAGGCCATCATTAAATTCTCCTTTTGCTCTCTGTCCATCAGAAACGCTTCCAAACCACTGGTCCTGGAGTAAATAAAGTCTGATGAGGGGGGAAAGCAGCACTTGCAGGAGGTGATTTCCACACAGTGCATGGGCTCCAGAGCCCCCTGCCAGCCTGGCTCATTTCCCCACAAACTCATTTCCCCAAGCCAGCTTTCCCTGTGCTGCTGTTGGCAAAACCTGCTTGTCCTTCACAGGGACTGCTGTGGAGTCTGCCTGAAGGACTGGAACCCACACTCAAGTGTTTAAATACCAAAACTCTTGGGCTTGACTGCTGTGGGTATTGGAGAACTTGAACTGCAGCTGTGCATCCTTTGGAGTCCTCTGGTCCTTGTGTAGATAATTTGCTGTGCAGACCTGCCCAGGCCAGTGAAGAGAAGTTCTGTGTGCAGTTGGTGCTGACCAAAGCCCCTCTGCATTGCTCAGTGCCATTCAGGGAGCACAGAGCAGGCTGTCTCCTGCTGCCCTGCACAACCAGCAGCAGTGCTGGGGGATGCATTTACCATGAATAAAGTTCTGGATTCTCTGCAACCACAAGTTTGTCCTTCCCACCTTCACGGGTGTCAGAGTGCACTACAAACTGGGCTTTGGCTGCTCTGGGGTGAGGGGGCACAGCTGGAACAGCCCCAGCAGTGTCAGGCTGCACAAGGCACTCCACAGCTGCCCTGAGCCCCAGGTGGGTGGAACATTCCAGAAGGAGGGGCAGGAGTGACTGGCAGTGCAGAGCAGACCCATGGAGGTGTCCACACCTCAGGGCTGGACAAACACCTTGCTCTGAACTCCTACAATTGCCTTTTTTCCTCCCTCAGTGCTCCAGATTAAACCCAAACCCTGAGATGGGTTTTTAACCCCTCACTTGTCTGCACTCCCCTGAGTGAGTCCCAGCACTCTGAGGAAGAACTGGTGCAATTGTTCCATTCAGGATCTCCCTTTCCATCTCTGAGGCTCCCTCCCTGCTGCCAGCCCCAGCTGGGGAGGGACAGGGGACAAGGGACACAGGAGGTGCTGGCAGCAGCTGGAATGTGTCAATGACAGCAGGCCCAAACCGTGAATCAGCCTCTCTTGGGGGACAAGAACCTGCGATTATTTGGGTTTCCTTTAGCAGGGAGGGGACATCACCCAGCCCTAGAACATCCCTGGCCTCCCAACCATGCAGACACCTCTGGTTTCCCCCTCCCAGCTCAGAGCAGTCCTGCCTTCCCTTCCTGCCTTCTCAACCTGATGAAAATGAAGGATTTTTGCCCTTTTCCCAGGGCTCTGTGCTGAGCCAGCTGTGCTTCCCTGCTCCCACTCCTGTGTCCTGTGTGGAATGTGGATGTGCACGTGCACAGCAGTTCCTCTCCCCTTCCTGAGCACAAAAGCAGCCTGAGGATCTTTAGGAATGCTGGATTTGTCTAAAAATAGTCCAGACAGTCCAGCAAGGCCATGACAGAGCCTCCCCAGAGAGCTGCCTTTGTTCTGTGGTGGAGCCAAGGGTCATGGGCAGGGAAAACTCGATTGTTGATTGGAAATGATTGTTTGCAGTTATTGACCTGCCTGCCTGGCTGCTCTGGGCTCTGGTTTGTGCTGATTCAGGATTGTTACCCTGAGGCCTCTCCTGCCCTGCTCTGCTGTGTCTAGGAAGGTGTAAGGAGCTGCTTTTAACTGGAAGTAAGGCAGTTCCTGGGAGCTGTTCCGTGGCCTGCATGGACAGAGCTCTCTCCTGGTAAGAATCAGGAAGTGACATTTCCTTCCTGCACAGTGCACTTGGGCAGGATTCTGAGCCAGGCTGCTCTCCTCACCCCTGGGGCAGCACAGAGGGGCCTCCCTCCCACAGCCACACTGAGCCATGGGATCCCTGCAGAGCCTTTCCTGCAGCTCCAGGGAGGAACAAAACTGGGCTGGATCCTGAGAGGACTTGCAGCTCCTGTGAAACAGCAGGGTTGGCACCGAAGCAAAAATTCTGGGGAGGAATCACCGTTTCATCCTGGGATGTTAAATCAAAGGGCAGCAAATCCACTAGTCACCACTAATTAATTTTGTTTTGAAATATTTACTTGGGCTGAAGTAGTAGCTGCTCTTAAGTCTTTAAAGGATTAGCTGCCTGCTACTCTTTCCTGCCTGCAACCATTTATTTAAGCTGTTGCTGCAAATCATGCTGTTAACCTGTCAGGAGAGGTTTTAACCTTCCTTCTCTTGTCAGTGGGAAATGCCTGCTGCAGATGGCCCTGCTGATGTGACAGAAATTAAACATCCAGTCAGGTCCTCTGGGCTCTTTTCCCAGCTCCTTCAAGGAAAGGCAAGACAGAAAATGCATGTAGTGATAATTGTCTGCATCACAGGGAGCTGGAAAGGCTGAGGAGGGGCTGGGAGGAGTTTAGGGAACATCAGCTGGTGATGCAGGAGCATCAGTGTCTGAGCTAAAGCCTGTGTGGCAAAGGAAATGCTCTGGATCTAGAACAAATCCTGAAGGAAAACTGAGAACTCACCTCAGCAGGGATCATTTCTTACTCTCAGGCAAGTGTTTAGTGTAAAAGGGAAAGATTCAGGTCCTTTAACATACAAATACTAATTAGCATCACCATACAATTTTCTAGCAGTTTTCATGAATGTGTCATTAGGAGAAGTCTGCCAGCTCCTATAATCCTCATTTTCCTCGTCTTTCAACACTCACAGCCCATAGCACAGCATGACCTCTTCCCTGCTATTTTGAGTGGTTCTTTTCCAGACAAATGCCTTATTTTCTCTGTATTTGATACTGAAGGTCAAGAGAATCCTCTCTGCCTTTTATTGCACAAGAACAGAGGAAGGATTGTAACAGGGCCAGTGCAAATGTGTGCCTAAAAATAAACCAGTGGATGGTCTCCAGCTTCAAACACAAAAAGGGTATTTGTGGAGGTCTCTCTTTGTTGGGTGATCGAGTTTCAGATCGCTGAGGAGACAATTCAAAGTTCAGCTCACAAGCAGCTCGTGATGGTTTAATCCCCCCCATGAAACAAAGGCAACTCTTGGACTTGGATCCACCCTGAGGCCCTGGAGCTGGCAGAGGCTCCCTCTGGATGGATCATCCCTGGGCCAGGGCAGTGGCTGGGCTGCTCCCCCGGGCTGCTGCCTCCCACCCTGGCCATGGGGCTGGGGCTGCAGAGGCTCAGGCAGGCCCACAGCCCCTCTGCCACCTCTGCTGGAGACAATTCGAGGGGCCAGAGCTTGCAGAACGCTGCAGTGACACTGCTTGGCAGCAATTAGGAATAGCAGAGAGGTGGCACTTCAGGCAGGGAAGGGGTTAACCAGCTACAGGGCAGTTTTGGGGGAGAGGTTTGAGTTCATTGTTCCAGGCTCTCTGTGGAGTTTTGTCCTTTCATCTCCGATTCTTGGTTCCCATCCCTTCCTCTGTGTTGTTCCTGCTGGGCCTCTCAGGGCACGGCTGTGCCCTCACCTGGGAGCAGGAGCACACAGCAGAGCTATAAACAGAGAGCCTGGCCACCTGTGGCAGCCCTGCTGCTCTAACTGCCACCCTGCACTGCTGTGACAGGCCTGCTCCAGCTGCCAGGGCAGGCAGGACTGCAGGGAGCCCCCACACTCAGTGCCAGAGCTGGCCCTGCCCTGGAGCTCTGGGCTCAGGTCTCCCTCTGCTTTGCCTGTGTGTGTGTGTGACCATTCCTGGTGTCTGCCCAGTGGGGTTTGGGCACTCAGGTTCAGCTTTGCAGAGGGCTCCTGGTCCCATTCATGCCTCAGCACCCTTTGTTTATTTTGCACACGAGGGATTACATGAGTCACAGGGTAAAAGTGACCCAAGCCCTCCACCCTTGCTCTCTGAGGCACGATTTGCAGTGGGTGAAAGCAGGGACTGAGTCTGCTCTCACTCACAGGGATGAGTAAGCAGCCACCAGGCGCTGCTGCCCGTGCTGTGCAAAGGACCTCTTTTATTCTGTGCTATAAAATTCCTCTAATGGACTTCAGAATGATTTAGTGCACCATGTCCACCTCATTTTGGAAGCAGTTTAAGTGGGAATGAGCTGCTCTGGTCCTGCCTATCCAGATCTGCCCCCAGCAGCTGCTCTTTATTCCCAGAGCTTTGAGCAGCCCCACGTGAACGTGACACAAGGTGACAAATCCCAGCTGGTCTCCCCCTTGGAGACCATCCCTGCAGATCCCTCAGGGCTGATCTGATGGGGAGAAGATCCAATGGAACAGAACTCCGGGGTGAGTGTGCCCAGGAGAGCAAAACCACGGGGAGCCATCAGCCCCGGGCTCCTGCCGTGCCTCTGAGCCAGATGTGGCTCCAGAGACTCAGCATCTGGACAAGGAGAGAGCCCTGCAGGAGAGCAGAGCAGAGCAGACAAACACTGGCTGCTCTCCTGCCAGGACTGCAGGGCTCATCTCAGGAGCTTTTGGGAAGCAGCCTGGGGATGAACTCGGAGAGGTGACTCAGCCCATCTCCTCCTCCTCCTCCTGCTCCCGTCAAACGCGGGCACTGCCCTGACTCAGCAAGTGAAATCTCATTTCTTTGGTACAGCCCTGAGGTCCCAGCCACAACAGCAGCAAGGAAATTGCCTTCTGCAGAGCACAGGCTGTCCAGCTGAGTTAGCATCACTGGGAGCACTCTGGAGCACTCTGGATTCCTGACAGCTTGGGATGAACGTCCCGTGGGAGAAGAAGAGGACCTGGGATGGGTTGTTTGCATCTCCTGGTTGTTTGCACTCTCCTGGTTGTTTCTATCTCCTGGTTGTTTGCATCTCCTGGTTGTTTGCACTCTCCTGGTTGTTTGTACTCTCCTGGTTGTTTCTATCTCCTGGTTGTTTGTACTCTCCTGGTTGTTTCTATCTCCTGGTTGTTTGCATCTCCTGGTTGTTTGTACTCTCCTGGTTGTTTGCACTCTCCTGGTTGTTTGCACTCTCCTGGTTGTTTGTACTCTCCTGGTTGTTTCTATCTCCTGGTTGTTTCTATCTCCTGGTTGTTTCTATCTCCTGGTTGTTTGCATCTCCTGGTTGTTTGCACTCTCCTGGTTGTTTCTATCTCCTGGTTGTTTGCACTCTCCTGGTTGTTTCTATCTCCTGGTTGTTTGATTCTCCTGGCTCTCACAACCTCCTCTCCACTTCCAAACCATTTTGCAAACCCAAACCCAGAGGAAGGTCCCCTCTCTCCAAAAGCTGCCAGAGGGCAAACCCCCGTGAGAGGAGCAGCAGGGTCCCAGCAGCGCTGCAGCCCCGCCGATCTCCCGCCCTGCTCACCCACTGCTTTATTCAGGACACCATTCAGGCGCTGCTGGCGCTCCCCGCAGGCACAGCAGGGGCTCAGCCGCGTGGGTCGCTGGCTGGAGCCGCCGTAATTTGAGAACTTGGCCCGAGATGCTCGGACCAAAGGCTCTCTTTGCTACCGAGAGCACTCTGCACTAATTAAACTTGGTAACAATTCTTCTGCATTTTGCAGGTGACAAACCGGGGGCTGGGCACGGCTGGCAGGGCCCATCTGGGTTCTGAGAAATAAACTTTTTTTTTTTTTTTTTTCTGAGAAAGAAGCGCGTTGTTTCTGCCTCGATTTCCACCTGACACTGCGGGGAACAGCAAGTCAGGGGTGTCCCCGAGATAATGAAACATCCCTGTGGGTCAGGAGCTCCCCACCAGCTGCTGGAGGTGGCGTTTTAACCAAGGGCTGCTCACATTTGCTTTCCTCACCTCAGAGTGAAACCCAGGGTCTGCCCAGCTGCTCCCTCAGTTACCATTCCATATTCCAGAGGGAAAAGCAAAGGAAAAACCCCACTGTTGGTTGTTCATTTTTGGGGGATTATTTGTGGGAGTGTCCACTCACCTCCTAGGCCGCTGTTGAATTAGCAGGGGTTTCATTTCTATTTTGTGTAATCCAGTGGAAGATATTCCTGTTATCCACAAACAGGAGTGCTGGGTTCTTCTTCATTGCTGGGCTCCATCTGTGGGATTCACACAGAATGTTATTCATCTAATGCAAGAGGAAATTTAAGAGGAGAAAGGACTGAAAAAGGCTTTACAGGGTTTGAGCCCATGGTTCTGGGGGTCTAGCTGTGTCAAATTCAATTCCTGGAGCACTAAATCCAGCTTCATCATCCTGCCCTGGCTTGTCCTTGGGATTATCAGGACCCTGAGGTCTTTATCTGTTACATTTCCATCTGACTGATGTGTTTTCTCTGGCTGTACTTCCCTCTGCCACCTTTCCCCCGGGGAGGGCAGCTTGGAAAACTGTAACACCCCAAAATAAAAAACAGAGCTGAGTCCCTGTCCCTGATCCCGAGCACAGGGGGACACTGAGCACGCACAAACTCCTGTCAACAGCACAGCCTCCATCGATGTGACATCACTAAAATGTCACCTCCCCACCCTGCCTAACAAAGGCTTTTAAGGTTTAAAAGCTGCACTGAAGTCTGTGCCTACATTTGGGATAAGGCCAGGTATTGAATAATGCCCAGGATCAATACCCACAATCAAGCACTGTGCCTCAGCCCTGCCCTCTGCAGTTCTCCATATGCCTCACTGCAAAAACCTTTTAGAAGCTTAACCAGGAGAGTGTTGCAGTGAACGTGGGGAAAAAAAAATGGGAGGATAAGCACAAATGCTCCAGAGGCCTGGCAGGGTCTCTGGTCTTAAAGTAAGCTCCTGGTTTTAATGGGATCAGATGAAACCCTCTTGGTGGAGGGGGGACAGCTGGTGAACAAACACCCCCAGCGTTCCTGCTGCCAAACACTGCACAGACAGCAGCGCTGGAAAAAGGACCCAAAGGATCAACAGAGAGCTGCAGGTCTGGGTGAAACAGGGACCACTTGGGGAGCACTTTGCCATCGACTCGGGGCTGCACCTCGATTACACAGCAGCAGGGCTGGGGAGAGAGCCCAGCACGGGTCAGTGTCTCCTCAAGGACAGCCAGGGCCAGGAGGAAGGGCAGGAATCAGCTGAGGGGCTCGGCCCTGGCTGCCCACAACAGCCCTGAGCAAGGGAAGGAGCCACGAGCTGACGTGTCTGAGAACTGCACGTTCTGGGAAGGGCAGGACACAAATCAGAGCGAGTTAATGTTGGCAGAGGCCATTAGGGATGTCAGATGTTGCCGAGAGGGACGTGAGAGAGGCACAGTCCAGAGCTGGCTACCAGAGCTGCAGACGTCAGCAGAGCCTGAAAACACCCAGCTCTGTGGGCTGGGAGGGGGGTTTGCCACATTTGTGCCACATTGGTCCTGGCCCCCACCAGAAAACTGTAAATCTCAGAAAAATGGTGTTTGCAGATGTGGTAGAGGTCCCTCATCTTTTAGGGGACGCAGCTTAGTCTCCTCTGCTGTAACAGGGGAGATTTAGGTTGGCCATCAGGAGGAATTTCTTCACAGAAAGGGGGATTAGACATTGGAATGGGCTGACCCTGGAGGTGTTTAAGGAATGTGGCACTCAGTGCTCCAGTCTCCTTGGGATGGTGATGCTTTGGCACAGGCTGAGCTTGACCTCAGAGGTCTTTTCCCACCTAAATGATTCCATGATTCTTTTGCTCCTCCCTAAACTCACTCTCCAATTGTAAAAGTTGGAGTTTTCCTAAAAGATAATAATTAAAAAAAAAAAAATCCAAAAAGAAACCACAAAGCAAAGCCCCAAGAGGGCCAGGGCTGGGGGCACCTAGTGAGCATACTGTCCTAGGGGCTGGAGAGGGATCCCTAGGTGAGGGGCCCAAGAGGCTTTGGGGATCTAATCAATGTCCATCGATATCCATCGATATCCAGCAATATCCATCGATATCCATAGATACCTGCAGGGAGGTGTTGGAGATGGAGCAGGCTCTGCTCCCTGGGGCCCAGCAGTGTGACGAGAGGCAATGGGCAGAAACTGAGGCAGGGAATGTTTTACCTGGACCCGAGGAAGAACTTTGCTGTGCCGGTGACCAAGCACTGATTCCTAGAACCGGAATAACAGAGTTACACAATCTCTGATTTGGAAGGGACCCACTGATCCAACTCTCAGCCTTGCCCAGCACGTCCTGACAATCCCACCATGCTCCTGAGTCTTGTCCCATCCCTCCTGGAACTCTGCCATCCCTGAGGCCATGACCATTCCCTGGGGAGCCTGTTCAGTGCCCCACTGCCCAGACAGGCTGTGGAATGTCCCTCACCAGTGATATTCCAAACCCGTCTGGACACAATCCTGTGCCATGTGCTCTGGGATGCCCCTTCCTGAGCAGAGGCTGGACCAGACACCCCACTGCAGTTCCTTCAAACCCGCCCCATTCCGTGACTCTGCATTTGTGTCCTTCACGCATAAACCCTTCACACATCTCTGCAGCTGGAGCCTTCTCACCCTCAGGGAACACGCGGCTGTTTCCCCCCGTCGAGCACCGGGCCCGCCATGGCGGCCGAGCCCTGAGGGAGCGGGGCCGGGGCCGCGCCATCTTGTCGGGGGCGGAGGAAGCGCCCGTCCCGCCCCGTGCTCTGCCTGCCGGGGCCGCCCGGCCCCGCCGCACTCGCCGCGGAGACCGAGCGGAGCGGAGCCGCAGCCCCCAGCGCCATTGCCGCCCTCAGCCCGCCATGGCAGGTGAGCCCGTCCTCCCGCTGCCGCCCTGAGGGAGCAGCCCTGAGGGAGCGCTTCCGCGCCGCGCTCTGCCCGCCGCGCTCTGCCCGCCGCGCTCTCCCCGCCGCGCTCTCCCCTCAGCGCTTCCCCGCCGCGTTCTCCCCGCCGTGTTCTCCCCGCCGTGTTCTCCCCGCCGTGTTCTCCCCTCAGCGTTCCTCCCTCAGCGCTTTCCGCCCCTCACCTCCCGCCCGCTGTCAGCTCCGTGCCGGCCCCGCATCCCCGCCGCTCGCCCTTCGCTGCCGCGGGCCGGAGGGTTCGCGGCTCCCCGCAGCCTCCACCATGTTCACCGGCCGCGCTTCACCTTGGCCGCAGCGCCGTCCGCACCTCTGCGCTCCTCCTCTCCCTTTCATTTCGCGTTTGCGGGTTAAATAAATAAATAAATAAATAAATAAATAAAGCCTTTCCCGTGCTCCGCGCCGGCGTGTGCTGGCTCGGCAGCGTCTCCAGGGGATGGGGAAGGGGCGCGGGGGATGCTCGGGGTGGCACCTGCGGCGGGGCCACCTGCCCGGCCGGCAGCGCCGCTCGGGCATCCATCCCGGGGTGGGGTCTTCTTCTCTCTGTGCCGCTGAGGTCATTATTTTTTTTTTTTTAATTTTTTTTTTCCCTTTAATCGGAGACAAAATGGGTGGCAGAGCCGTAAGCTTGCGGATGGGATGGAGAAATGCAGGTTAATTCTCCCCTGGTCCTGAAGGGGTGGCCTCGCTCTTCCTTGATCCTGTTCTCGTGATATGCGTTAAAGCTTTTTTTCCCCCTCTTTTAAAAAAATATTTATTTGCCTTTTTATTTTTCAGTGCACATCGAGGCAGGAAATATTTAAATTTTCTGGTTTTAACTTGCAAGCCCCGTTCGATATCGTGTGTGGTTTTCTTTTGTTTTAAGGTACATTTGGGTAGGAAGAAGTGATGTAGGTAGTGCAGGAAAATGCCTGAACAAAGCTTCTTGCAAGCCTTTTAGGGTTCCTAGAATAAGGACTGAACACTACCATGCATTCCTGTTATTGGCGGCTTTAACCTTTTTTTCCATAAAAGCTGGGAATGAGGCAGAGGCTTTACAGTTCTATTCCCATCCCTTCATTTTGGAGCCGTCGTTGTCATTTTGTCCGCAGGGGAGAGCATCCCTTGAGGCACTTCGGGGCTCTCCTGGCCAGGTGAGTGCGGGCTGGGCTGACCCCAAAGGCAGCAGCAGAGCCGGTGGAAGGAAGGTTCTGGCAGGGAAGGAAATCCCCCGAGGTGTTGAGGAGAAGGTAAAGACCTGGCCTGTTCATTTTTTCCGCCTTGTCATTTCCCACGCGCAGCTGACTCTTGGTGTGAGTTCAGTGCCAGGTAAATGCCAGGCCCCCTGTTGCTGATGAGCTTTAATTCTCAATGAAAACACCAAATGCTCTGTATTCATAGGGAGCATAATATGTCTGCGTGTGCTCACTGCAGTGTAGCACTGCCAGGCTTGAGCAGGCTTTAAATTACCCGGTTTAAGCTTGAAAAAAGAACTGGTTTGGGTAGTGTTTTTCCTGGCAGGTGGAGTTTGGTGCAGGCTCGAAGTGGAGAAGCAGAACAAATGCTGGAGTGCTGAGCAGCTGATGGGCTGCACGGTGCCAGAGGCAGGCTTAACTGCACGCCTTGTCTGCCAGGTGATCTCAGTGTAGATAAAGGATTATTGCAGCAAGGAGCTCAGGTTAGCAAAGTGGAAAATAATCTGGGGATGTGTGGAACAATTGGATTTAGTTGATGAGCTCTTGTACCCCTACTCCTAGCTCCCAGTCCTGATCCAGATACCTTGAAATTAGAGCAGTGTTAACGTGGAGATGCACTGAAACAAATTCAACATTGGGCTAGCAAGGAGGTTAAACAGACCCTGAGATTTTTATCATGGATTTAAACAAGCCTTTGGTTTAGTCGGGATGTAAAGAGGACCTGAAAATGTCGTGTCAGAGCCCTGGGGACAAGAGGAGATCACGCTGGGCTTCTCAGGGGTGGGTGGTGCTCCTGCTGAGGCTTAACAGGCTGAAATCAAATGGTTTAAAATCCATCCCAGTGTGGTACTGGGCTGTAAGCCCTGCCCTGAGCCAGGCTTAGCTTTGCTGAACTCTCTGGAAGCGCACAGCTCTCAGCAGATGGAAGGAGCAGGATGAGGATCAGGTTCTCAGAGCACGGGCCTGTTGCTTCTTCAGCATTTTCAGCATGGAAATAAATGAAAGGGTTTGGAGGAGAAGCAGCTCCTCGGCCACTGGCAGGATTTGATGGGTGTTTCCTTGGGTGACAGCTCCCATCCCTCAGCCCCTGGCAGTGTCCCCTAGGTGCCCACAAAAGCCTTGTGTTCCTATGGCAGCCAGCCCTGTTCAGGGAATTTTCGTGCTCTTTGGCCTCCCTGAGCCCAGGCAGACCTGAGTGTACCTCCCTAAGTCCATACTGGGTGGTGTGTGGGGGGATTTAAACCTTGCTGGTATGAGAATTTCTGGCTCCAGGTCGTCTAACAGGGAGTTGAATTCCAGCGGAGAAATAGGAATAATTTCTTTGTTGGTATTACTTAGTTGGAGACTTCTTCAGTGGAAGCTTGAGATAATGGCAGTGTTGGAGGATTGTTTTTTTTCCTGACAGAAAACTTTGATTGGGAATTTCCCCCACACTGTAAAAAATGCTGCATTTGTATGCAGCTCCTATTTCCGATGCTTTTAAAAAATTAAACCGAATTTTTAATCTTTGATTCTGTCCCTGTGTTTGGGGGTTTATTTCTTCCTGGTGTAGCCGAACGTGGCAATTTCCTCAGCATGCAGGGGTGTCCTGAGGGGCTGTGCCGTGGCTTTGCTGTGGAAGTTGATTGCACACCATTGAAAGGGAGATGGGTGACACTGCAGGCATTGTCGGTACGGATTCCTGCAGAAGTGGCTGCTAAGCTGCTCTCAGGACTGGTCTGAACTGCTGGGATTGCACCTGAGGGCAGGGGAAGGCAGCTGGCACCTCCTGGGAGCTGCTCCCACCACAGCTGGTGCCATTGGAAGGTGACAGAATGCTGGAATGGTTTGGGTGGGAAGGGACCTCAGAGCCCGCCCAGTGCTGTGGGCAGGGACACCAATTCCACTGTCCCGGGCTGGCCTGGGACTCTGCAGGGCTCCAGGTGCACCCTGTGCCAGGGGCTCATGGCCCTCCCAGGGAAGGATTTCTTCTGGGGAGTTCTTGTTCTGCTCTAGCTGCTCCTGTCAATGTCTCCGTGCGAGCCACGTAAGAAATCTCATGCCCCAGAAGTTTCTGTTTGGGCCGTTTCTTCAATAGATTTATTTTGCTTTCAAACACTTCTTTATGTGTTTATCCTTACAGGAGAAAATGCAGATGGCTGCACACAACCCTTGTACTTCCATTGGAGCTGATGGTTTATATGTTGCTGGAAAATCTATTTATATCAAGGGTTATTTATGAAGCCTCAGTGGTCATGACATGGCCTGACAACAGTTACCATGGGGGTTATTTTACTTAAAAGCTGCAGGAAGACAATATTGACAGACAGGATGAGTAAGAGACGAGCATCCTGATGCAGTGAAGGCAGGAGTAAAATAAATCATTACAGATGAAAGTTCCTGCTGTGTTCTCCAGCCTTCCCGGGGGTGAAGCGTGTTCAGCTTCGTGGGGTGCATGAAATATTTCTGTCACTGCCTGGGAGCACATTTGCTTTATGGGCAAATGTTTTTAGTTGTTATGAGCTGTCTCAGGACAGGGTTTCTTTGATGGCAGGAAAGAAATCTGATGATATTTGGCTGTTTTCAGGTTGTGGGAAGGAAATGTTTGCTGCCTGAATGTTTTTCTGCTGGGGATGAATCTACACAGGGATTTCTTGCCATGGTAATTTGGCCCAGAAAGGAGCAGAGCTACTTCCTTGGAAAGGCACTTGGGGTGTTGAGACATCACTGGCACTGGTGGGGAAAGGGAGGAGGAGGGAGAGCTGGACTTGGAGCTCCTGTTGCAATTTCATCCCTTCCACTCGACTTCATCTCAGGGATCGTGTTTTGGGAACATTGGGAATTCCCGACGCGGCTCCCGGCTTTCTCCAGAGAGACCCAGGGACGAGTTTGGGTTTTGTGTCCCCACTGTTGTCACCAGTGAGTCACCCTGGGGGCTCTGACACTTCCCTTGGCTCTGCTGTGGCCCTGGGGGCTTTCAGAGCTCCAGGGTGGCTTTGGGAAGGATGGCTTGGCCCCAGGCTCTTTGGGAAGGCTGGATTGGCCACCAGGCTCTTTGGGAAGGCTGGATTCGCCACCAGGCTCTTTGGGAAGGCTGGATTGGCCCCAGGCTCTTTGGGAAGGATGGATTGGCCCCAGGCTCTTTGGGAAGGATGGCTTGGCCCCAGGCTCTTTGGGAAGGCTGGATTGGCCCCCAGGCTCTTTGGGAAGGATGGATTGGCCACCAGGCTGCCTTTGGGAAGGCTGGATTGGCCCCAGGCTCTTTGGGAAGGATGGCTTGGCCACCAGGCTCTTTGGGAAGGCTGGCTTGGCCACCAGGGTCTTTGGGAAGGCTGGCTTGGCCACCAGGCTCTTTGGGAAGGCTGGATTGGCCCCAGGCTCTTTGGGAAGGCTGGCTTGGCCACCAGGCTCTTTGGGAAGGCTGGATTGGCCCCAGGGTCTTTGGGAAGGATGGATTGGCACCAGGCTCTTTGGGAAGGCTGGATTGGCCCCAGGCTCTTTGGGAAGGCTGGATTGGCCACCAGGCTCTTTGGGAAGGATGGCTTGGCCCCAGGCTGCCTTTGGGAAGGATGGCTTGGCCACCAGGCTCTTTGGGAAGGATGGCTTGGCCACCAGGCTCTTTGGGAAGGATGGCTTGGCCACCAGGCTGCCTTTGGGAAGGCTGGATTGGCCCCAGGCTCTTTGGGAAGGCTGGATTGGCCCCAGGCTCTTTGGGAAGGATGGCTTGGCACCAGGGTCTTTGGGAAGGCTGGATTGGCCCCCAGGCTCTTTGGGAAGGATGGCTTGGCACCAGGGTCTTTAGGAAGGATGGCTTGGCCACCAGGGTCTTTAGGAAGGATGGATTGGCCCCAGGCTCTTTGGGAAGGATGGCTTGGCCACCAGGGTCTTTAGGAAGGCTGGATTGGTCCCAGGCTCTTTGGGAAGGATGGATTGGCCCCAGGCTCTTTGGGAAGGATGGATTGGCCCCAGGCTGTGCCCAGGGGCTCCTGGAGCTCCAGGGTTGGGTGTCTCCCTCCTGGGATGAAATTCTCTGTGTTCCCATCCCACCTCTGTTTGATTGCTGGGCAATGGCTGGGCTCTAAAACCAGCATTTGAATGAGTTTATAATATTCCTTTTAAAGAGCAGCTTCAA